GAGCCGAGGGGTTGGCGGGGGTGGCCGCACCGGAAGGGAGAGGGGTGGAGGTGTCAGAGATGGTAGGGACGATCTGGGGCGTAGCGGAGGAGATGACGGAAGAAGCTTGGGCGATGGCCTCGTCCTTGGCGGCTGAGCCCTTGGACTTTTTGTTCTTTGGGTAAATGACGAATTCGCAAGCGAAAAAGAGCCTGCAATTGTGTTAAAAGGTGCTTATCAACTCCACCGCGTCACTTACCATTTTTCATCCCACCCGAGGGTGTAGGCTTCCATGGTATACTCCATGCCGATGGGGATCTCCTTGAAAAAGTTGTAATGCGTGGCACCGAGAGCCATGTGAGCCCCAGGGGTGAACACAGGAGACAGCGCTTGAATGCAAAAGTCCATCTTGAGGCTGTCCGAGTTTTTGGCGTAGCATCTGAAACAGGTCAGCACATATGAGAGACTTGAGATGGGGCTACACACGAGTTGCTCAAGTGGAGATTGTAATCGCAGTCGTCAATGCCAGCAGTCCGTTTGTGCCTCACTCTCAAGCCTTTGACACCGCCAGACTGGTCGTTCGCCTTCTTCCAGTCAGACAGGTACCTGGCGCGACCTTTGTGCCATGCCAAGTAGTAAGCCTTGACACCGAACCACCAGACGCGGACATGCCAGACAAAGGGCCATGATCCAGAGTTGGCAATGAGGAGAAGAAGAAGGACGACTTTGACTATGGGCTGTCAGTGATCATTGACGCCACGAGGTGGACTATGGCTGACCTGATTTGGGGATGAAGGGGAGGAGGGGGGTGTTAGAGGTGGTGGTCAGTCTCTGTACAATAGATGAGACTCCCGCTGCGAGTGCCCCTGGGAGGTGCTGGAGTGTGGCGAGGGACATGGCGGTGGATAGAGAAGCGGAAGAGCAAAGAATGGAATTGTAAGCGACGTGCGGTGTAGCGGGCGCCGAGCTGTGGAGTGGCCCCCGTCCCTACTCACGGGCAGTGTCCTTGCCCTACTCGAATCCATGCTGTATGTATGTCTACGCTGTCGGCACCCGGCAATGATTTGGCAATGATGCATGCATACCCCCTGGAGTACGCCGTGGGTGCTGGCGGGGGACCAAATAGAGTGCCTGGCAGGGTGGAGGCAGCCCAGAGAACAATAAGAGATCGTTGTCTTTCAGCTGCATCGACAACCACCATGGCATCCCTCAGCCCCTCCCTCTACGCCCTCCCCCACACCCCCCTCCCCTCCAACGCCCGCCCCTCGGCCACCCTCGACGAGCAGCGCGACACAGAGCACCTCATCAAACAGCTCATCGACCTCACCGCCGACCCCGCCGAGCCCACGCCAGACGCCACCAAACAGTATCCTACCCTCAGGAAGGCCGAGCATACCCAGTTTCTTGCCTCCACCTTCTTCCGGCTGCCTGGAAAGTTTGTCAGCCTCGATGCCAGTCGTCCTTGGCTAGTGTTCTGGACCGTGCACTCTCTCGACATCCTCGGCGTTGCTCTGGACCAGGGCACCAAAGACAGGTCAGTGTGTCTGGTAGTTCTGTACATGAACTGAGATTTTCGCAGAGTCGTTTCGACCCTCCTTCACTTCCTCTCGCCCCTCGGTGGATTTGCTGGCGGCCCCGCAAACTCTCAGCTACCCCATCTTCTTCCTACCTATGCCTCTGTCTGTTCCCTAGCCATCACCGGCAATGCTGGGCCCAATGGCGGATGGGAAAACCTCGTCAGTGCTAGGCAGGGGATATACGACTTTTTCATGCGCTGCAAGAGGCCTGATGGGGGCTTTGTCGTGTGTGAAGGGGGCGAGGTCGACGTCAGGTGTGTATATCAAAACGCCTTTTGACAATGCTGACATGCCAAACAGAGGGTCTTATTGTCTCTTGGTTGTGGCTACACTGCTGGACATTCTCACACCCGAGCTTCTCTACAATACCGACAAATTCATCGCTGCTTGTCAAACTTATGAAGGCGGCTTTGCCTGCTCGTCCTTCCCTTTCCCTTCCATCATCCCCTCTGCCTCCGCCATTCCCACCGCCGACCCCTCTGCCCGAGCACCCATGTCCGAAGCACACGGCGGCTACACTTCCTGCTCTCTCAACTCTCACTTTCTCCTCACTGCTGTTCCTCTTCCGTCCTTCCCTGCGCCCATCGATGCTGATGCGGCTCTGAGATGGACGGTACTGCAGCAGGGTGAAGCTATTGAAGGAGGTGGTTTCAGGGGGAGGACGAACAAACTTGTAGACGGCTGCTACTCTTGGTGGGTCGGTGGTGGAGCGCCTGTAGCAGAGGAACTCGTCCGACGAGAGCGTGCCAAAAAGGCCAAGGGACAAGCCAAAAAGCTCGAGGTCCTTGATGGCGAAGAGCAGGATAGCGATTGGGAAGACGTTGCTCGTAAGTGCCATCTCCGCAATGTGTAATACTGCTTACTCTGCATAGCCTCCCCATCAGTCTTCAACCGAGTTGCTCTGCAAGAATTCACCTTGATTGCCGCCCAGCAAGACGCTGGCACCACAGGCGGTCTTCGCGACAAGCCCGGAAAGTGAGCAATCTCGTATCTTGACCCGACATCTGCTGAACAATCACAGACGACCCGACCAATACCACACCTGCAACAACCTCTCGGGCCTGTCCATCGCCCAACACAACCTCGTCCACTCTCCATCGACCATTGCTGCCAACCGCGCCAAGTTTGACCCTTCAAAAGGACTGCCTGCTGTCAAGACCTCGACGCCTGAAGGAGGGTGGAAGAGCGAAGAGGAGAGGCAAGAGGCGAGGAGGGCGGTGTGGGCTAGTGCGCTTGGTTGGACGGAGGAGGAGGGGTCAGAGGTTGTCGTGGGAGGAAAGGACAATCGCGTGGTAAGTGTAGACAAGTCCGGCCGTGGCCCCGCTGACCGACGATGAAGAACACGACTACTCCAGTGTTCAATCTGTTGAATCTGAGGCTCAAGCCGTTTATCAACTACTTTTATTGTCAAGAAGAATGAGGATGAGGGTTTGGACAATGTTTGTGTCGTATGTATGCTTTTAACCTAATCACAAGCGCATTTGCGACGGGTAGAAACTCAAATTCAGAGCCGGAATCAGCGTTAAAACGAATAGTGTTGAGTTGCACTCGCGTTCTCCTAAAAGACCAGCTCTTTTCAATTTAGCCTCGGAGAATGGTAAAGCTTTTTTGGGGCCCATGAGGGATATGCTGCAGTAGAAGTGCACAGGTATAGAGAAGAACGAAGCGAAACACAACTCTGCCACGACTATGTACGACTTTAAAGTACTCGTACCTCTCAAAAACGCTGACGTGGAATCTGGACAACATTGCGGAAAGCCGACGCTCAACGAAACAGCTAGTTCTATGCCATGTTTATGCTCAACCTTGCCTCACTTGCCTCGTTCACCAATGCCTTCGCCCGTCACGCCCCCGTCCCCTACACAGTCCATGATGGATGCGTCATCACCAATCAGCGAAGAAGACCACGATGCGGGGGTCAGCTCTCTGATGAACCGTACCGAGATTGGCTATTTGGCTCACTGGAGCGTTTCAAGCCACAAGTATGGCTTTGGAGTGGATAATCTGCGAGATGGAAACGACTCGACGTTCTGGCAGTGCGTATGGACTACTAGTCGAGTCATTGTACGCTGATCTTCTATGTAGATCTGAGGGCGCGCAGCCACATACCATCGATATGGCGTTCTCCCGGCGAGTCGACATCTCGGTAAGACCTTTTAGAAGCCGTCGCAGCTCCGACTGACCCTTGCATAGGCTATCGGTCTTCACATGTCACATCCCAGAGACGATTCCTACACTCCCTCAAAGATAGGCGTCAGAGCTGGAACAGGTGTACATGATCTGCAAGAGGTAAGCTCAGCTCCTTCGCTCCGTGCAGAGATCCTTGCTGATGTTTCCCAGGTGAGGTACATGGAATTCACGCAGCCGGATGGATGGCATCTCATTCCCCTACGGCCCATGGAGATGTCAGGGGAAGGGAGCGAAAAGGAGGGGTAAGGCTCGTCGGATGCGCTTCGCTATGGTGGCTGACCCGCTTCTAGTCCTCCCATACCTTGTCACTTCTTGAGGATCGTAATCTTTGCGAATCATCTCAACGGCAAGGATACCCATGTCAGAGGTCTACGGGTTTTCGGTCCACCCGGGTAAGTCCAGTGTTTGTTGTGACCCTTCGAGTGGTTGACATTGCTTGGCAGCTCAAAAGAGACAACCCACCAAGAACCATTACCAGCGGGGTTGATTGGAAACGGAGATGATCCGGACGAAGGAAAGATGCTTCTCCAGCTTGGCCACGATGGTTTAAGTGATTTCACGAGCGTAGAGTTCAGGATGCATGAGCGGATACGGTGAAGCAGGGCAGCATGGTGGGCTCTTGGTTGATGTTGTATGCATATATACTTGACCGGTGAGCTCACCCACGCAGTGTGTCTTGCGCACGGCCCTCGTGCGGCGACCTGCGCCAAATTGCCGGTTGACTCAACCACACATCATTGCATCTCCATCTCTCGTTCGCATCTCATCTTTGGTTATATTCTCATAGAATCTGATATGTCGTCAGAGCACAGCCCGCCATGCCTAGCACTTATTCCCTGGCGCCCTCCCACTCATCAAGCGACACTCGCAACCTCACCTTCTTTCAACTTGTCCGGATCTTTGGGCTCTGTAAGGGAGAGATCGGATCAGGATGGTCAAGTAAGCTCATATGCCCGTCCCTTCGCCTCCTACTCACCATCCTCTAGATGAGCAGGTTTGACGACGCTCCGACATTCATCCTGAACAGACTCTTTGGCCAGCTCGTCGCCTCTCCTCTGGACATTCGCTCCTGGGTTTACTATCCCCCCCAGCTCATCGATGCTTTCATCGATAAAATTGAGCGTCTCGCTATGCCTCATGCCGCTCACGACACCCCAATGCCTACTTGTACCTTGACGATCACCGACCCGCCGAACCGGAGCAAGAAGAGAAAGTTGGGTCAAGCAGATGAGACTCCCGAGGGACTGGAGGACGAAAGAACCAAGACGCGCTCTAGTGATTCCTGGGCCCTCATCAAGCGGCCCAAGCTTACCGTCGCGTTGATTCCAAAGGGGCGCTATCGTCCCCCAGCAAAGCCCCCTAGACTTCGTTCAAACCACCTGACTCTGTCTCCAGCTTCGTCAATCGATCACTTGCCTTATGTCACTGACAATAGGTCATACTGGGAGTCCATGATACGAAATCAGGCTCTAAGCTCACATGTCCCAACCTGGTCGAGACCGCCCTCATGCTTTCTACACCCTGGCGCCCCTCCCACGCTGTCTCTTCCTCACTTGACCTCTCCTCATCAGACCTCGTTCACGCCCGGGTACCGGTCAGACCGTTTGATCGCATACTCTACCCATTGGCACCAGACCTCACCACTGGGAGGGGAAGCAGGTGGAGTTATCGGGTCCGCTGTGACTTCACCAACCTCGATTTGTGCCACCGACGATATGCCTCAGCTATTCACCAATTCTGTTGGTCCTGACCGTCAAGAGCAAACTTCCTTTACGGATGATGATCATTGCATGGCATCTATGGACGACTACGATTTGCACGATACCTTCCCAGTCTACCAGACGCCACCGTCATCTGACGCTCCATCAAACTATCTTTCTGCTCAACTTCCTCCGGCGGTGCCCGGCAGCCAATCCTCCGTACACCGAGTGGGCGATCAGACCGACGAGGACGTTGTCGAGCCCGATATTGAACGCCAAAACGTTGACAACAACCAAGAAGGAGAAGGCCTTGGAGCAGGCCAGTGGAGAGTGGGCAAGACACCTGGGCATCAAGGATCTCATTCCAGAACGGTCAAAGCAAGCACTGGGAGAGAAGATGGCGGGTTCAATGCTGGGCACAAGCGATCTCTAAGCCAAGTGAGCAGCGTATTCCATGCGCGTGAACTACGCTGATGCCAGGTCAGAGTATTGCTGGAGCAGCCACTCGAGTATTGAAGAAGCCATTCAGGCCCCCATCCAGAGTTGTCCTGCAAAAGACGGCTCCGGCACCCCCCTCGCCCTTTTCCGATTCTTCTACATGTCAGCCTTCGACTTCTCCATCCAGCGAAAGGACAGTCGTCACAAACGCCCCTGCCCGTGGCATCAAGAATACGCCCCCAGCTACTCGTATACGCTCAGCCAAACTCGCTCGACCATTCCGGACACCCCTCCGCTCGAGCCGCTCGGATGCCCCTTCACCTGACACCGTTGCACAAGCCGCTTCTTCCTCGCCCTACAATCCAGGACCACCACAGACAGGCCAAGAGGCCCTGACGGCGTTGCAAAATGAAGTGCTCATGCTGAAGAAAGCGATCAGATACGATGCTGAAGACTCAGCTGGCCGCTTGCAAGAACTCATCGTGATGTGGAGGTCTGCGGGACGGGAGATGGTTGAGAAGTTGTATGATCTCATCCCCCGTCCTGACCCCGGTACATCTGATAACCCCTACATCTCAAATCCTACTCCGTCTGGCTACTGGCAAGATTCATCGGCGTCGAACGGCCTTTCGTCTGAGCAAGAAGAGATTCTGGCCAAAGCACCCAGAAACAAAGATGGGGATCCAGTGGACGCGGATGGCAATCTTCTGATACCTGATGTGGCAGATCAAGATATAGGGGCTCTGATGAAGGAGATTGAGTCGAGTACGCTCTATGGCGAACAGTGAGCTGCTCCAATGATTTACACTGACATGGCTGACTCTGTTCTAGGGTCAAGGGAAATGGGAGGTTTCATGAGAGAGAGGAGACCCCGGTGCGTGATCGGTGAGGTTGCCCGCTTCCACACAGTTGATAGCTCATCATCTAGTAACCGTGACAGTATCGCTGAAGATCCCATGGTATGGAACTACGGGACAGTCCTAAGAGGACTTGGTGTCGATCCTCCCTTGCTTGGCTGGAATACCGAAGCGGAGGATTGGGACTAGTTGAGTGGACGATGTATCTGAATCTGAGAGCAATGTTCAATCTATGTCAAACCATGCCATTTGCTAGATCCATGCACATTATAATCAATGTCGTTATGAAACACAGATCCTTCCCTAGTTCTTCTTCTTTCCCTTCGCCTTGACCACCTTGAAGCCAGCATCCACGCTCGGCTGCTTTGGTTGTGTCTTTACAACGTCTGCCAAGCTTGTGACCTTCTTTCCGCCTCCGCCGCCTCTCTGCGCCACCGCGTCCTGCTTCCTCTTCACCGTGAACTCTTGAGCAAACCTTCGGCCATCAAGGGTGGAGGAGTTGGCGTAAACAGAGTCGCTGATGATCTCCATCTGGTCCGCTCGAGAAGCAGCGGGAGGGTCAATAGGGAAGGACAAGAGGACAGAGATAAAGTCGTCAATGTCTCCCTTGAAACCAGTCAACGCTTGCTTGGTCCAGCGAATGAATTCGACAGAGGGGGCACCATCATCAAGCGCGACAGTCTTCTTCAACGTGGGAGCGGCAACAGTGGCAGGCTTGGGAGCCGGGGCAGCAGCAGGTTTGGCGGGAGTAGAAGCTCTGGCAGTGGGAGTAGCAGCACCAGATGCCTTACCGCTGGCACCAACGGTAGTCCATCCAGGCAAATGCTCCTGCTCCCTCTTGACGGGCGCAGCAGCCAAATCGGCATACCCTCGCCTGGAACTAGAAGTCACACCAGCAGATTGGCCCTGGGCCACCCGAGCAGCTTGGGCGGCCTTGGCCTTTCGCTTCTCTTCTTCTTCCTGAATCTGCTTCAACGTCTTCTTGGGAGCGTCGCCGGCACCGCCCCAGGCGGGCGCAGTAGGACCAGGGGTAGACACCACGGGAGAGACAGCTCGGGCCCCACGAGGGGGCTGAGAAGGAAGACCCCAAGACATGGAAACAAAGTCTTCATCCTTGCTCGACGTGGGGGCAGGAGACGCACTAGCGGCCCTAGCTTCAGCAAGAGCAGACCTCTTTGCCTCGAGTCGCTTCGCCTCGGCTTCTTGAATGTCCCTCAAAGAAGGAGAAGGAGCAGCGCGCTCCTCGTTCTTGACCGCCCAGGGGGCAATCTTGACCTTTGCGGGCTTTCCGGGAGGGGGGCTGGGGGAAGAGGGTGCCTCGGGGGCAGGGCCGGGGGTAGCAACGTCGACAGCCTTGGGGGGCTGGGAAGGGGTGGGGATGATTTTGGGGGCAGCCTTGACCTCGGCGGGGGTGGGCTCAGCAGACTCCTTGGATTGGGGTACAACATTCTTCTTCCAGGCGCTCTGCACAGGGGCGGGAGTGGACGCCGACGGGGACTCGGGGGTGAGCTGGTCTTCAATCTCCTCCTCGTCGTTCTCAGACTCTCCATTCACAGACTCGGGCTCGGGCGTTGGCTCAGGCTCGGTTTTGTCAAGACCTTGCTCAATCTCCTCGACAGGAGCTGGCTTTTCAGACTCTGGGGCAAAGATCGGTTCAGGCTGCTCAATCGGCTCTTGTCGAGTCTCCTGCTGAGTGTAATGCTGCTGAGGAATTTGCTGATGAAGTTGCTGGGCCTGAGGCTGCTGCTCCCACTGCACAGGAGCAGTTTGCGGCTGGTAAGCCTGCTGTTGCAAAGGCTGCTGCTGAGCCACTTGCTGAGGGTATCCCTGAGCGCCCCAAGGCTGACCATAGATGTCGCCAGGCGCACTCCTAAGTTGTTGCCCAAAGTACTGGGGCTGTTGGATCTGGGGTTGCTGCTGCTGCATGTACTGCAAAGGCGCAGAGCCAATAGGAGAGGGGGCTCCTATTTGACCGTACGAGGGGTTTGAAACAGGCGCAAGGGGGGACATGCCCATGCGAAGTGATTGCTGGGGAGCGAGATTGTTCCACGCCTGGGAGGGTGAAGAGGCATACCCAGGAGAGGCAATGTGCTCAAGCGACTGCTGCTGAGGAGCATATGCATTTTGGGCAAAGGCGTCGTAGCCCGGGTGAGGGCCCCGAGCTCCAGAGAGAGCGGGCTGGGGACTAATACGAGGGTCGGTTCCGATGGGGCTAGACACGCCGAGGTTTCGGAAATGCTCAGGCAGATTGCCCAAGGCCTGTTGCTGGAGAGCAGCGATAGGGATTGGGAGGTTGGGTGGCAATTGCCTTTGGCGGGCAGGCACCAGGAAAGGCTGAAGCGTGCTTCCAGTCGCTGCTTTCAACTCTGACAGAGGCCGGAAAGCAGTTTCAGACGAACGACGAAGAGGAAGGTCATCTGCAAAGTACGAGTGAGAGTACCAATCGTTCATCTGGGCACCCTTGAAAGGTCCTTGCTCCTGCCCGTTGGGGTCTCGGTAGTACCAGTCGATGGATCCAAGCTCCTCTACCTGGGGCTCTTGAGCCTCATGCAAAGGGGTAGTTACTCCAGATGGGACAGCAGGAGCCATGGTCGTATCGAGGATGGACGCATCGCGCTCAGGAATGGGAGTGGCCGAAGGTGTCGCGATGATGGATAGAGAGGCAGCTGTCTGACTGGCGACGGGAAAGTCGAGTGTCTGATTCGGTTGAGCGAGATCCGCCATGATTGACAGTAAACTCACCTTGTCACCATCGGCACTGGTACCGGACGAGATTCTCCATTTTTTCTGTCCATTTTCTCGCTGCTCTGTAGTCTCCACGGATGGGCTAAGGCCAGCGGAAGACCCGCCAAAACCAAGCACTCCTTCAAAATTGCCAGAGGAAGGCGTCTTGGGCCCAGACCTCCAGGTTGCAGCACCAGAAGACCTCGATTCTGCAACAATGATGTCAGCCGAATCATGTAGAAGGTGAATTTTACACACCAGCGCTATTGGGATCCTCGCCCCTTCGGGTCAAGCGCTTGCCGACTCCTCCGAAACCGCCTCCAAGACCACCAGGGGCCTTGTGATCCAATCCACCAGGACTCAAGACACCTCCTCCTCCGCCAAATTGGCCCATCTTGCCCAAGGCACCACCACTGAAGGCGTTACCGCCTTCGCCACGAGTATAACCTGTGGTACGGCGGGTGGGAAGGCCGTTGGGAACATGCTCATTGGTGGAAGCAGAGTTGGTCTGGTTCAGCTGGCGACGAGCGGGCAGAGTGGGGTGCACGGAAGTAGCAAGAAGCTTCGAGAAAGTGTCAGACGCGTTTGAAAAAAGTCGAGGCCACTCACTTTTTTCTCGCCTTCCGTGAGGTCCCTGGTTCCCACAGGCCTGCTCAGGTTCTTGCTGACCAGTACGCCTCCATTTTCTGCCATCTGTACAAGCTCGATGGGCCGCTCCCTGAACTTGGCCTCGTCGTACAGGGCCAGGATTTGCTCCCGGCTATACCTGAACGGATGGCTGTTGACCTCTCCGTTGGCATCCTGGTGCGGAAAGTAGCCATCTGTCGCGACCGAGGGCGAGGAAGGAGTGTGGGTCACGCGAGAGTACGAGAGGGTGGGATGTGTCGCAGTAGTGGGAGACGCAGAGCGGGGGTTGGCGGACAGAGCCGGGAAGGGCGAGTTGGAGGCGAGCTTCCTGGGGTTCTCTGTGGTGGGAGTCGTGTTGGCGGAGCTGCCGGAAGGTTTGATGGGCTTGGCCCACTGGGGAGCAAAGTGCATGGACATTCTGGCGCGAGATGAGCTTCTGGGTGAGCATGCGACGGCAGACAAGGGCTCACTTTGGCTGTGTTGGTTGTGGTGGGGTTGGGGCTGCTGGCAGGAGCTGTGAGCTGTGAGGGACAGGGATATAGGGGTTGAATGAAAAGTGTCGAAATTGAAAGAGGTCATGAGCGCAGCCGGAGTTATGGAGCCGGGATTTTTTGGTACGCGCGTCAAGTGGCACGCAAAGGATTGGCTGACGAGAACAATCGTATAATGTTGCCTCGGTCCGACCTATGCCTGGGATAGGGCAGAAGGCTACAGGTCTGAGTAGGGCGAGCATGAGTGCTGGGCTGTGGAAAGGGGCATATGCCTGCATGGGAGGACGATACGCGGTCGCTCGCCAGAGTTCTGATGCCCCGCTCATGCATCAGTGTTGACCATGCCCCTCCTCCCTGCCGGCGAGCCCCTGCGAGCGCGCTCAGGGGGGTGCTCTCAAGGGACATGCATGCATGCAGTTGCCAGCCTTCACGGATGCGCCAGCCGCAGGAGCGCATGGATCGCGAAGCCCCTCCGGCTTACCGAGGCGGTCGCGGAAAAAAGGAAGAAAGCTTTTGTTATTTTTTTTTGTCGCAAAGTCACAACCAGGCCAGTACTTGTATCCCCAAGAGACCATTCAACTGTTCTCTTGATACAGCTGCAAGCTCCCTGAGTCGCAATACAACCCAGAAGGACAACACAGTCGCATGGTCGCTCAGAACAAGGAGATCCGCGTCACGTACGTCCTATACCACCTATAGACTCCGTCCCCTCTGACCTGTTCTTCAGCTGGGGTGCAGACGCCCGCCTCACCTCCCACCTCATATCCTTAATCTCAGAAACGCCCCGCTATCGCGAATGTATCTTTGCCAACGCCGGCGATAGATGGCTGGTTGAGCGAGACCTGTGTCTTGTCGTGCTAGGAGATGAAGCGTGGATGAGAGACAAGGAGAGCAAAGGGTGGGTAAGAAGAGGCGAGAAGGGCTGGGAGGCAACAGAAATGTGGACAAGCGGGCTTGTCCACCCTGTGCGAAACAGACTGCACCTGTAAGTTTAGTTGAAACCCGGGTCGCCGAGCTGACTTGTCGACAGTCTCATGAAGAGGATGAGAGATGGGTGGTATCAACAAAAGTACGGAGTCGACCCTTCCTGGTGCTCTCCTGATCAAATTCCGGAGCAGATCCGAGGTGCGCCCTGCCCTCTGCCCTCCCTTCTTTACTGACGCGCTGAACAGCAAGCTTCCTTATTGCCCACCCTTATTACTTTACCCTTCTTGAACTTTGGAACAAACGGTCTCTTGACGGAGAGCCAATTGATGCTGCAATTCGAGCCGCTGAAGGAAAGGGCAAGAAGCGGGGGCCAAAGCCCAAGCTGGGCGCCGCCTTGGAGCCTTCCGCAAAAAGAGCCCGAATCGGCGAGTCTTCCCACGACTCTGCACCGAGTCTCTCGCCTCCGGACTCGCTGGGCCCATTGGCCGGAGATATCCATCTATCTTCTCAACTGAGTCCAGATTCCACAAGCGAAGGCGAAGAAGAGCAAGATGAGCTGTCTGTGGAATCCAGCCTCGCCCAACCTTTGCCCAAAGCAGAACCCGAGACTGACAGCTCAGCCTTGACAGCTGGCAAGCTTCCCGGTGCGGGAACGCTCGACCTCGGTCTTTCCTCTCCCCCGGTCAAAAGGTCGAGAGGAAGACCCAAGGGATCTCTGAACAAAAAGCCAAGGAAAGAAGGCAGTGCTGTCGCGGGCCCGGCAGGGCTCGTAGATGAGTCTGGGGCAAAGGCAGAGGTGCCGGTGAAGAGGGGGAGGGGTAGACCTAAAGGGTCGACCAACAAGAAGAAGGTCTAGTACCTTCTATTTGTCATCGTTCGCTTTGAGGTCATCTATATATTCCGGGATCTGCGTTTTCCTCTGTACCGAGCATTATACCCATGTGTGTACACAACTGTTAGAAAGGACACTCAGTCTACCTGCTGGATGCTATTTGCTAGATGCAACAGCCATATAGTTTTGACAGCACGACTCAAATCCTCACTTGTCCAACCCTCTCTAAGAGAGTCGCCTGAACGACATTGCAAACAGTATATCTGCCGAATGCATTGCAACTACGCATCGTGCTCTACTTTACGGTCACCGCACACCTGTGGCTGTGATGGTCCCTGTTGTCCCAAACAGATGAATCGTACTCAATCTTAGAGCTTGTCTTTGGGAATACCAGCAAGCTCATCATACCCGAGGGCAAGATTCAAGTTCTTAACCCGCGTCAGCCACTGCCTTGTAGTCGGTCATATAATCACTCACCTGCATGGCCTGAGTGGCGGCACCCTTGAGCAAGTTGTCCAAAGCTCCAACCACAACGACCCTCTTGCCACTGCTGTGCACCTGGACACCACCTACCCTCCATCCATGCTTGCCCATAGCATCATTCACATCAGGAACACCCTTGGCAACCTGGATCAACTGCTCTCCCTTGTACATTTCCTCGTAGAGCTGGGAAATGTCGGAAGCTCGCATAGACTTTGCGAGAGGGGCGGTGAGGACAGAGATGATACCGGAGAACCAGGGGGCGACATTGGGGATGAAGCCGAGGGAAAAGTCGGAAGGAGTGATGGAAGACGAAGAAGGGATGATGGAGGAGAGGTGGCGGGAAGCTTCACGCTCGTGAATGTGGTCGGTGAGGGCGTAGGGTCGGATAGCACCTTTGAGGTCCTCGGCAGACTATAGACAGTGAGCGTTGCCTTGAAATTGTCATTTTACGTACGATTTTGGGGACAGTCTTGGGCCTACCCTCGGCGTCCTTTTCGCCGCTTTTGGTACCGGCTCCAGAGAAACCAGAGATACCAAAGACTGAGGGCCTCTGGATGGGGTCAAGATGGGGCATCAAAGGGGCGAGAAGGAGCTGTGTGTTGGTGGCGTAACAACCGGGGTTGGAAACCCTGGTGGCTCCCCGGATCTGTTCTCGACCGTAGAGTTCTATAAACATTCAATGTCTTAGCTTTGCATTCTTGGTTCTAGTTGATACTTAGGGTCTAAGGAGTAGGGTAAACTAGGTCGTATCTGTGTATAGACAAGTCGACAAATGTTCCTCCTCTCCTTGACCCTATAAAGAAAGGGCCTTCTCACCAGGCAATCCGTATGTCCAGCTGTCTTCAAATCTGTAGTCGGCGCTCAAGTCGACAATGACGCTCTTGCCACCCTTAGCCACCGCCTTGTCGACGGCATCCACAAAGGGCTTGCAAACACCGTTGGGCAGAGCCATGACCCAAGCATCAACCTCGTTGTTTTCGGCCATCTTGCCAACATCCTCCACAGAGAGGTTGGAGTACTTGACAGGGGACTTGGAGTAGTCCTTCAAGGGAAGACCAGCAAGTTCTCGAGAAGAGACGTGGGTGAGGTCAAGGTGAGGGTGGCTGTCGATCAAGGACACGAGGTTCTGGCCAGTGTAACCTCGAGCACCGATAAGGGCAACTCGCTTTCGGGGAGCAACCTCGGAAACGGTGGCGTAGCCTCGAGCGCTCTGGGCGGCGGCAGAGTTGGAAGTCATAGAGGGACGAGCAGAGGTGGAGAAGGCTCGAGTACCAGCGGGGGCGCCAGCAGCTCGACGGTGGGGAGGGACACTGGGACCGACAGGGAGGAAGACTCGCTCAATCCTGCCGTTCTCCTCAAAACCCTGGATGATTCTCTCGACCTCCTTGACGTCGCTGACGCCGTACCAGAACAAACTCCTGCCAGCCCGGGTGAAGGAGCCGTCAGCTCGCTCAAAGTGCCAGGCGCGGTTCTCGTCATCGGCCTTGGCGGTCCAGAAGAGGCGCTTGTGGTCCTTCTTGACGGCATCAAAGACATTGTCCACAATCTTGTTGAGGATGCCGTTTCGGGAAGGAAGGAACTTGGTCATGACGGGGGTCTCGCCCTCGGGATGAGAAACAACGGCAACGACGTCAAAGGGCTCGTCACCGTAAATGGTGTGAGGAGTCTCCTTGAGGTTGGAGAAGATTTCGGCAACAGACTTTCGGCCGCTTTGGACCTCGGGGTCACGTTCAGTAAAGACCTGGCGGAGCTGGCTGCTACCGACAGCCTCCACAGAAGGCTGCTTGTACAGCTTGTAGCCTCGCCTAATGAGGGTACCCGCACCAGCATCGGTAAAGAGCTCCTTTTGAAGCATGTCGGTGGAGATGATGGCAACGGATGAAGTTCGTGGAAGGGTGTCGAGGAGCTCCTTGATCTCTCGGATCTTGAGCTTGGTGCCAAACTTGACCCAAGACTCCTTCATGAGACCGTCGTATTCCTCGTCGAGGTTGATGGTAGATATTTTCTTGCCGGTGACACCGTGGAAGATACCCCCCTTCTCGTTGAGGTAGACGATCTTCATGGGCTGTGGGGCATCAGCTCATGCCCGAGGCGTTGTGATAGGGACGCACCTCGAGAACACGGGCAAGTTCACCAGCAGCCACATCAGCGTTGACATTGAGGATTTGACCCTCGGCGTTCTCGGCCAAACTGGTCAAGATGGGCAAGCATCCAGCCTTGATAGCAGCCTCGATGGGGGCCTTGTCGACCCTGGTGATCTTGCCGACGAGACCGTATTTGGCCTTGTCGAGGTAGTCGGCGGTAAAGACGCCAGTGGGAATGGGTCGGGCGCGGGTACCGAGTCGCTCAAGGGCAGTAGTGAGCTTGAGGTTTTCCTGGAGGAAGACGCGGCGAGCCACGGCAAGCGTCTTGGCGTCTGTCTCCGTGTCAGCGGAATCGAAAGACAATAGTAGACGCACCAGTGATTCGGATACCGTCCTCATAGTCGGGGATGACACCCTCAGCCTCGAGAATCTCGTTCCTACGACAAATCAGCGATGGCGTCCTCAGATCAGCCAGACATACAGTTGGGGTCCAGCACCGTGGAGTACGACAGGGAACAGACCGAGCCTGTTCAAGAAAGAGAGAGAGAGGGCAAGGTCGTCAATCTCGTTGGTGAGGATAGCGCCGCCGATCCTATCGCGTTCGGTAAGTAATGTCTCGGTTGCACATTACGGTACGTACTTGAGGACAGCAAATTTAGCTTCAGGCAAGACGCCGCCGGCGGAAGAGTTGGATTGGGTGAAGATGCGGAGGTATCGCTCAACTTCATGCCTGGAACCAAGAGAGTAGAGCAATCGGATGATAGTGTCCTATACCGTAATCAGTAAGACATTCCGCTCAGCCAGATTCCATTGTCCTCCGCAAAGGCTCCCACAATGAGAGCTCTTACTTACACGGTCCATACCACCTTCTCGCTGGGCGTTGGCGAGACCCCTCTTCCGGATCTCATTGCCGACCTTATGGGCGTCAAACTCAAAGAGGACGTTGCTATCAGACCTGGAGGAGCTGGCGAGCTGGGTGGAGGCGGCAGCGGGGGCGGAGGGTTTTGTGAATGCCCTGGCCGCGGGGAGCCTGGGGCGAGGGAGGGCTGAGCGGGGGAGGGTGCGGCGGAGCATGGTGGATGGGGAGAAGCGAAGAAAGAGATGCACATTAGCCGAGTCGGCGTTGAGGAAGAGATAAAGAGTGATTACGTACTCAGTTTCGGCAGGCGGCAGGGCCCGCTGGCGGCTGGACCGACGGGAGCATTCGAAAAGAGTAAACAAAAGCCCGACTGACTTTGTTTTGTACACATCGCACCATGGAGCAGGAGAACAACCCCCCCTCACGCCTCCCCCGCCTCGCATCCCCCGCCGCCAAACACTCCGGCATCCCCCTCCCCTCCCTCGCCGCCACCATGGCCCCGCTCGCGTCCAGCAACAACGCAAACAAACGCAAGATGCCAGAGTCGCCGATGCGACCGCCCACGGGAAAGAGATCCGTCTCTGGCTCAGGCGCAGGCAAGGCGCCTACTGGAGCTGCTGCCAGTGCCGGTCTCAGGACGAGTCAGAGGAAACCTTCGGGTGGATTTGTACCGACCACGCAGAGGAAGCCGACGAGTACTCTTACGCGACCTGCGACGTCTATGGGAGTCTCTACAAGACGTGCAGTGGGAAGTACTGGCAGTGCTACCTCTGCTTCATCCAGCACTTCTGGAAGGACTACAGCAAAGCCCACGGCCGCGGCTGGCAGAGCGAGATCGGGGTTGGCACCGCCGCCTACCGCAAGAAGACCTGTGGCGGCGAGCACTTCTGGGCCATCAGCTTCGAATCTCCGCTCGAACAGTGCCATGGGGAGAAGTATGGGGCCATCCTCGAGGCTCACCAGGGCTAATGCTGGCGCAGGACCATCCAAGGTAATTCAACGCCTCGTTGAAATCGTACTGACGCTGGATCACAGGACCAAGACGGCAGACTCGAGAATGTTGAAAAGATGGTCGGCGGATTCCACGACCTATTGGAGAAGGAGCAAGCCAAAAGTGAGCCTAACGCGTCTACCTGATAAACTAGAACTAACATCCTACAGTCTCAAGCCTTCAACTGTCTCATGTTGACCTCCAAACCCTCCTCCAGTCCACCCAATCCACCGAACGCGCGGCTCGTCGCGATCTCTCCACCGCCTCGGAAGAGCTCGCTTCCCTCCGCGCCGCCCACGCACGCGAAGTGGATGAACTGGAGCGAACCATCCTGCGCAAAGACCGAGAGAAGCGCGGGCTCGAGGAAGAGGTGCGCGATAGCCGAGAAGAGCTGAGCCGGGAGAGAGATAGCGTCCGCACGATCAAGGCGCAGCTTGCAGAGCAATCGACCAAGCACCTTACGTTGGAGGCGCAACTGTCGGCCTCTCAGACACAGCTCACCATCCTGCAAACCGAGGTTGAACGCGCGACCCTCGCCGTGAGCGCTATGAAGGCTGAACTACAAGTCGGACAAGACAGGGCTCAAGCAGCAGAGCTTGCCGCCGAGCAAAAGGTCCGACAAGCAGAGGAAGATAGAGATAGGAGAATAGGAGAGATCGAGGAAGAGTTGAGGAATGCAGAGACGATCAGGAGAAAGCTGCACAACCAAGTGCAAGAGCTAAAGGGAAACATCAGGGTGTTTGCGAGGGTCAGACCTGTGCTGGGTGAGTGCCGAGGGTGTCTTTGGGCAGTGCTGACTGGCAGTAGGCCACGAACTGCAAAACCCAGAAGGTATCGCCGATATCGCGTACGGTGACGAACGTACTGCCCAAGAGACGGGCCAGAGCCAGATTGTGGTCACCTCCAAATCCGAGAGCGCTACGGGCAAGAACCGAGAACAGATCAACCAATTCACTTTTGACAAGGTATGTTTGCTTACCATGACGGAGTCGTGTGCTGATAATGTGTAGGTCTTTTCGCCCAAAGCTGGACAGCAAGACGTGTTTGAAGAGATTTCAATGTTGGCGCAGTCTGTGCTGGACGGGTACAATGTCTGTATCTTTGCGTACGGGCAGACTGGTTCTGGAAAGTCCTGGACAATGGAAGGCGGTCAGTCTGAAGAAGAGGCTGGTATGATTCCGAGAGCGATAGACATGATTTTCAAGACTAGCGACTATCTCAAGGACAGGGGGTGGAAGTATCAAATGGAGGGGCAGTACTTGGAAGTGTACAATGAAGTGGTAGGTTTGGGATTTTGTGCACCGAGTCGAACTGATTTGGTGTAGATCAACGACTTGCTGGGGAGCGGTCAATTTGATACCAAGAAACACGAGATCAAGCTTGATAAAGACGGCAAAATCAGTGTTACTGATGCTGTCAGCGGTACGCTCTCTACCTGTCTACGCGATCACAGCTAATGGCAACAGTCCCATTGAGCAATCCCCTCCAAGTGCACAATCTTCTTGCGCGGGCTCGAGGCCGTCGAGCGGTAGCAGCTACCCTCATGAATGAACGATCATCACGATCCCACTCTGTATTCACCCTCAAGGTCAAGGGCGTCAATCCTCTCACCGACGAAAAATGCGAGGCCATGCTCAATCTCGGTGCGTCTGGCCCCCGTCCGCCAAGGACTCAAGCTAATGTGTGACAGTCGACTTGGCTGGTTCGGAGCGCCTCGAGAAATCTGGGGCGGGGGAAAACAAGGATAGGTTGAAGGAGACGATCAACATCAACAAGTCTCTTTCTGCCCTGGCAGATGTCATTGGTGCCTTGGGACAGGGGCAGCAAGGAGGACATGTTCCATACAGAAATTCCACCTTGACACGGCTGCTTCAAACAAGTCTGTCGGGTACGTATCTCAATCGACCACATGAACCGGGCTGACAATAAACAGGCTCGAGCAAGACCCTAATGATGTGCAACTTGTCACCTTTGGCTACGCATTTGGGCGAGTCGCTGTGCAGTCTAAGATTTGCGACCAAGGTGAACACGACCCAGGTTGGGCAGGCCAAGAAGGCCATCTCTCGGTAGTATCTTTTTCGTTATAGTGTATTTTATGGACATTTGAGACTGGATGAAACAATCATACCCAAATGCTATGCTTTTACTATCGTGTCTAGATTTCGCCCCCACTGTTCCCCAAGAGAATATCTCCCACTCTCAACCTCGTCCACCCCTGCTTGTGCTCGATCGTCTTCTGGTAGCCCTTTCTCCTCTTCTTCTTCAAAAGCCTCTCCATAGGACTCTTGGTATGTTCCAGCACCGTGAGCTCACACCTCACGAGCTCTGGCGAGATGGCGGGAAACTCGACGGTGCGCTTCTCCACAAAGCTCATGCCCTTTTTGAGCGCCTTTGCCTCTGCCGCTGGCGAGCGCACGGCATACTCTCGCGAACCGACTTCGAGAATCTTTGTGAGACTCAGGGTGGTACCGGGGGCCTGCATCGGCTTGAGGGTGGGCACGGTCAAGATGTCTCTTGGGTGGAGGAGATGGTTGCGCGCATGCAGACGGGCGATAATGTAGCGCCCGGTGGAGGGGGTGGATTGTGATTGGATGAGGGCAAAGGCGTCAGGGGTGGAGGACGGGAGGGGGGCAGGGGTGGTGGCGGGCAGGAGCGGGGGGAGGGCGGAAGAGGAGGGGCCGGACGGGGGAAGGGGAGAGGTGGGAGGGGGGAGGGGGGCAGATGTCTGGAGGGTGCGGGCACCGAGGGAGAGCCGTGAGAGGGCTGCGGGGTGTCAGCTGAGGGAACAAGGAGTCGAGGGGACATACCGTGAGAGATGTTTGGTCTGGGCATGGTGTGCGGTGGCTGAGTTAACACATATGCAGAGAAGGAGAAGTCTCGAAAAAACAGCGGCCACCTCCGCCCCCTCTTCCTCACTCAACCCTCCCATACTGCCTCACATACAGGCCTGCACCCGTCTTCTCTGCAGCTGGCCAGGGTATCAGTCTTCTGTGCACCCCCGACAGTGGCCTCGACAGTGGGTGGCTGTAGCATGTACGTTCGATGCATATGGTCGCGCTGCATACTGGGCAAGAGGGGCGACACTGCGCTGGAGGAATGACTGGGTACAACAAGGGCCTGCCTATGCGCGCATACACACTACTGCTGCTTCTGGCTGCCGTGCTTGCCCAGGGTGGGCTGACGGCCATGCATCAACGCTGCATCGCCAGGTTGAGTGCGCTGGGGGAATGCCACGTAGGCTGTGCCACGCGCGGAGGTATGGTCGGCGTTTTATCGAGCTGAATTCGGGTGTTGCGATCATAGTCCCCATATCCGTGTTTCCCTCTCCTCCCACATCCACCACTCATCCAAAATCATGCGTGTCGCTATCAGGAACTCTCTCAGGGGTGCCCTCTCCCAGGCCGTGAGTCAACCGCTTTTTTCCCACCCGCAATCCCCAAAAAAGCAGCCCCAGGAGGGGACACGTAGCTGGCGTCTAGATCGGCTCGCGGCGTACAAGGCGACAACAAAGAGGCAGAGGTGCCAGCACGGGCGCAATGGACAGCTCGAGGGGGCAGCAACACATCGCGGCACCGCCAGAAGAATCATTCGCTAACATGCATCGCCCACAGACCCGAGCCCGTGTCGCTCCCCTCGCGGTCAGGACTTACGCTACTGCCAAGCCCGGTACGTTGACATCCCCCTACCCCTTGCACACTGCAGCACGGCCACTGACATGACATCCCCTCTGCTTTTCACCACTTTCAACCCATCCATCAACCCTCGACCCCCCCACCCCACGTTTCGGCCGATTAAATCCACTTTTCACCGAACAGCCGCGTCCGAGGTTTCCTCCATCCTCGAGTCTCGAATCGCCGGTGCTTCTGCTGGTGGTGATGTCCAGGAGACTGGCCGAGTCCTCACCATTGGTGACGGTATCGCCCGTGTCTACGGTCTCCGAAACGTCCAGGCCGAGGAAATGGTCGAGTTCTCTTCTGGTATCCGAGGAATGTGCTTGAACTTGGAAGCCGACAACGTCGGTGTCACCATCTTCGGTAACGACAGGTTGATCAAGGAGGGCGACACTGTCAAGCGAACTGGTCAGATTGTCGACGTTCCCGTCGGTCCCGGTCTTCTCGGTCGAGTCGTTGACGCTTTGGGTAACCCCATCGACGGCAAGGGCCCTATCGACTCTGTTGGCAGGACCAAGGCTCAGCTCAAGGCCCCCGGTATTCTTCCCCGACGATCCGTCCACGAGCCCATGCAGACCGGTCTCAAGTCTGTCGACTCTTTGGTCCCCGTATGTCTACTTTTTTAGTTGATGTCGAACACACGCTAACATGCCCTAGATCGGTCGAGGTCAGCGAGAGCTTATCATTGGTGACCGACAGACCGGTAAATCCGCTGTCGCCATCGACGCCATTCTTAACCAGAAGAAGTGGAACGACGGCAACGACGAGTCCAAGAAGCTCTACTGTGTCTACGTCGCCGTTGGCCAGAAGCGATCTACCGTCGCTCAGCTCGTCCAGACCCTCGAGGAGAACGACGCCATGAAGTACTCTATCATTGTCGCCGCTACCGCCTCCGAGGCCGCTCCCCTCCAGTACCTCGCTCCCTTCTCTGGTTGTGCCATGGGCGAGTGGTTCCGTGACAACGGCAAGCACGCCTTGATCATCTACGATGACTTGTCCAAGCAGGCCGTCGCCTACCGACAGATGTCTTTGCTTCTTCGACGACCCCCCGGTCGTGAGGCTTACCCCGGTGACGTGAGTATTACGTCGAGTGCTGTGACTGCCTGCTGACGTGACATAGGTTTTCTACTTGCACTCTCGACTCCTTGAGCGTGCCGCCAAGATGAACGAGTCCCTCGGTGCCGGTTCCCTCACTGCCCTTCCCATCATTGAGACCCAGGGTGGTGATGTGTCCGCCTACATTCCTACCAACGTTATCTCCATTACCGACGGTCAGATCTTCTTGGAGGCTGAGCTCTTCTTCAAGGGTGTCCGACCCGCTATCAACGTCGGCTTGTCCGTCTCCCGAGTCGGTTCCGCCGCCCAGACCAAGCTCATGAAGTCTGTCGCCGGTTCCTTGAAGCTCTACCTCGCTCAGTACCGAGAAGTCGCCGCCTTCGCTCAGTTCGGTTCCGACCTTGACGCTTCTACCCGATACCTCCTTAACCGAGGTGCCCGTCTTACCGAGCTCCTCAAGCAGCCCCAGTACACCCCCATGCCCACCGAGGTCATGGCTCCTCTTATCTACGCCGGTGTCAACGGTATGCTTGATGCCGTCCCCGTCGACAAGATCACCGTCTGGGAGAAGTCTTTGTGAGTTATCGTTTGCATCGTTTGCGGTGTGTTTTTGCTAACGGCGTTCCAGCACTGAGCTCCTCAAGACTCAGCACCAGTCTCTCCTCGAGAAGCTCAGCGGTGGTGTCCTCACCAAGGAGATTGAGGAGGAGATGAAGAAGGTCATTGAGGGCCACGTTGCCGACTTCTCTGCCTAAGTGCGGTGATTAGAGGTAGAAGGGAAGAGTTTAAAATTGGGACATAAAAATCGAAATGAAAATCTCAAGTTTGCATCGATGGCATGAAGTTGCATTAGCACGTTTGACTCTTTGCATAAGATATGGATGCCCTGCCGCCCTTTGAGGCGCGGGGACATGCCGTGTCTCCAGCGCATGGTAGAGCGTTGGGGCGTAAGAGTAAGTCTCCAATGCCTTATCCTTGTAACATCATACTTCTAAGTTTGTCTGAAGTGGCTGCGCTCCCGATGGCGACTCCCCGAACGACGAGTATGTCGGGTTCAGAAACGGGGGTAGTCACGAGCTTCCGTGGGACACAGCAAATGATGGAGTTGATGGATTGATGGGTTCGCGAATGATGGCGTTTCAAGTGACATTGTTGGTAAAGCGAAGCTCAACGTTCAGGAAAGGATGTACAATTACTTCTAGCTTGTACCCCATAGACTGCCTTTTCCCTTCCGCTTTTCCTTCCAGAAGGGTGTAGACGTTGTCTTTGAGGTGTGGTCGATGGATGGGAGGCTTTTCGTTACCATTGTCGCGAGGCGATGGAGTCAATCAATAGAAAATGTCGACCAGGTTTCATAGATAATTAGAGAATAGCACCTTTCCGCTAAGCCGACATTCCTGATAAACAAAGCTGTCGCCTTGATAGCTTCCCTTTTGTGCCGCTCGTTATTGAATTGTGCCGCTCATTAAAGTGTCGCCAGCTTGTCACGGTAGATGCCTGCTTCTTCCATCAATGCAGCTGCTTCCGTCACTTGCAGGTCAGGGTAAAGGGCTTCAACGGCCTCGAGGTATCAAGGTAGCTGAGCTGGCGTCATGTCTAGCAAGGAAAGGACAGAATGTGACATTTTGAAGTTTGCAAAAGAGATCAGCAGTACAGGCCCATCTCCAGATGCATGATTCGTTTCAAATCATAGTGCACTGCTATAGCCGTATATGCGAGCGTATTGCGATGTATATCAGCTGTTTTCAGTTCGTGTTACTCGCTACATGCGCGCTAGCGAGAATAGTCCTTCTTGCACGTTGAATGTGGCACTCTTTGTATCGCCACACCTCGTCTTTCGGCAAGTACGGCAGATGGAGCACTCTCCCAATGCAACACCCTTGTACGACCCCATAGCAGTCCCGAAGGTGCGCGCTTTCTCAATGTCGAGGGTGACATACCGCGACGCTGGCCCGACACGCTCACGCAATCAAGTGCGCGACGACAACAAACAGCATTGAATCCCTTCCCTCAACACGTGCAGGAAGGAAATGATACATCATTGTGGATGGGCATCAGCGTGGCGGCAGAAAAGAAGCTTCTAGTCTGGCAGAGAGGGGTGACAGCCCATGTGAGCGAGGATGCTTTTGTGAGGAGGGAGGGATGTGCAAGGGGTGATGTCACGGTTTTCGGCGGCCGGGTCTGTGCTGTTGCTATAAGAATGTGTGGTTGCTGTGTTCTTTTCGGAGATCGTCGCAGAAACAAAGGTGAGGAAAATAAATACATGCCGCCGGAGTACATATAGCTGACCTCCTCCTCCCTCTCCCCCCCCCTCGCCACCCGCCATGCTCCACCCAGCGCCCCCCCGCCGCTCCCTCTCCGCCCGCTTCGCATCCACCAAAGCAGTCCCCGCCGCCGCCTCCCGCCAGGGCTCAAACTACAAGAACCGCTTCAGCCTCACCACCACAGAACAACACAAAGTTAACATGCAGGCCGTCAACATCCCCTCAGACTCGGTCCCCGAGAACCTCAAGCCCATCGAGCAGATCGTCAAGAGGGCAAAGGAGCTCAAGCTCGCAGAGCCCGTCATCTCGTACTGGTGTGCGTCCGATAGCACCAACTATGATAGCGGCTGATGCCATGCAGGCTGCTTCTCTGCGGCTCAGAAGGCGTTGAAGATGACCAACAGGTCCAAAGAGGATACCATCTTCCTCATGGCTCTTATCGAAGCATTGGAAGCCGTGCGTTCAAGCCCTTATGATTGTCTGCTCTGCTGACTGCGACTCAGATGAAAGTGGCCCTGGCCGCCAATGAAGCGATTACCAGCGAAGCAGCAGGCGCAGCCTACGTGGAAAACTTTGCGCTCAAAGTATTCATGTCGGCGGACAATGACGACCGCGCTGGCAATACCGGAAAGCAAGTCCCTTTCCATGGTTAACGCGAATGCGAATCTGACCCGAAGCAGGCCAACTATTCGGAAATTCGTAGTCGCGGGCCAATTCATTGAAGTGCTTCGATGCTTTGAGCACGGAATGACGGAAGAAGTAAGTCGCCCTGAGCTTCTTCATGGTTTGCTGTTGAAACTGCCGCTGATGGGGGAAGCAGATGGAGCAAAAGCTGCTGTATGCTCGCTGGAAGGCCGCGGACGGGGCCAAGGCCCTGCGCGAAGGCCGAGTGCCCACAGCTGGTCCCCGTTAGTCATATTCCCTCGCATACAAACAAACCGCATGCTGACTCTTGCTCGTTTCTTCATCGGTACACAGCTTTCCCTGAGCAAGACCACGTTTCTTCTCCAGCAGCTGCTGCTGTGACATCACCCGGCCACTCCAGCCAGCTGCTCCAATCGCCACCCCAGCACACACCCGGACGCGGATCCCGTCAAAATTCCTTTTCCAACAATGCCCGCCCGCCTGCCCCCTCTCCTCCCACGCATACCCAAATCATCTCTCCCCGTCCTTCTCCGGCACTGAATGCTCGCAACAACCCACCACCTATCGATACCGACCCGCGCACCCCGCGGTCGACCACTTCCACCACCGGGTCCGGCGCTTGGTCCACAGTCGCTACACCGGGGCTGCCAGATGATGACGAAAGTCAGCTGCATTTCGACCTCAACCGGCCGGACGCTATGCTTCCGCCTCCGGCTCACTCGTACAGTGGCCAGGGCGGGAAGCGATCGCCCTTGAGGACACCGGTAGATGAAAAGAAGAATGTGCGTTTCCTTGGCCCAGATGGTGCGCCGCTCTCGCCGGCGTCGACGCATCTGACTGTATCATCTTATACTGCGCCGCCGGCACCGCCTCCCACAGACATTCCTTCTCCGGAACCGCGCCCGAAAACTTTGCCAGTGGTGGGGCCCCCACCTTCAGGCAGACCAAGAGGTGATTCTTCAAGCTCGAGGAACGGCGTGCCCCACGTTCACAGTACCCCGAACAATGACGCACAGCAAGCTCCTTCCGGGGGTAACGGGGCCACTTCTGGCCCTCGTCAGCGCACCGCACAAGTCCCAATCCCCGGTTCCGGTTCTGGGTCTGGTTCTAGTCAAGGGTTGACGAGGTTGCCTTCCTCCGGCAACGTGCCCCCTCCGCCCCCGCCTTCATTGATTGGCGGCGGAGCGGCACCCAGGCCGCTGGTACAGCCTCAGTCCCAAGGTGGGGGATTGGGATTGTCCTCACCACCACCGATGCAGGGTTCTGTGACTGTCCTTGCGACTACACGTGGCCGTTCCAACTCGCACTCGCATGCCCAGCCCCAGTCTCAGCCCCACACTTCTTCGAGCCCATCTCAACCCTTCGTTCCCACTCCAAAGACCATGTCGAGAAAAGACATCGAGTATACTCAAAAGCACGCAAAGTTTGCGATTAGTGCAATGGAGTTTGACGATTTCGAGACAGCTAGGGCAGAGTTGAGGAAGGCGATCAATATGCTGGGTGGGTGATACGGTCAGAGTGTCGTACAGGATATAGAGGAGAAGGTAGTCTGAAACACCAGTAACAGACTTTTACGACCTTTCTTTCCGAATAGTGCCAAACAGACACTTTCCGAGTTCAGCTTTCTCCGTTTATGGGGTCATTTCACTGGCGACTTTTTTACTAGCGACCTTGTAGAGACTCCCGCCGAGGTAACCAAAAAAAATAACGTACCGAAAAAAGAATTGAAAATCAGAAAAACACACCTTTTCTTTTTGATCTAGATGACGACGGAGCGAGGAGCGACGCAATGCATCTGTCGAAAACTGGCTACATGTACAAGAGACCATAATCGCTAGCAGCCATCATCACTTTTCCTCGTCGGAACTCGCCATGCTCGCCATCGCTTCACTGTCAAGACGATAAGCCCCATATCACGACGTCAATCTACGAGGTACATACCGGTATGCTTTCTTGCACATCTTTTTCATATGTTGCGATTTGAATTTGTTCATCTTGCCCTGTCACCAACCATCAGTGGCATTCCATGTCCTTCGAGAAAGCGACTCACAGAAAGGTACATTCCGTCCACTTCATCACTCTCCCCCAGATCATCCAACTTGTCTTCCGCAATCCACCCATAACTACTGCTCGAATCGTAGAATCTCACGAGCCAAACTCGTGTATCGTTTCGTTCTGCAGCCTTGCGGGCCGCAGCTTCTTCAGCGAGCACGGGGTCGGGCACTTCCGAGCGGTCATCGGGATCGTCAAGGTCGACTATCTCTGCGGGGAAATGAGGAAACGAGTAGACTGTAGAGATGTGAGTTTCTGAATGCGTCCAATGGGGAAGGTCTCACCTTTGGCCCATACGAGCGTTCCTGGTGGGAACGGGTCCTTCACCTTTCTCTTCGTCTTTGCCGGAGGCGGGGGAAGCTTCTTCTTCCTGGACGGGTGTATCGACGCCGCCCCCTCCTCAACCTCCGGCAACCTCTCAGCCTTTTGCGGCGAGTCCACCATGTCGACCTCCAAAGACGCCAGCTCGCTACGCCCAATAACGTGTCTTCCGAGTTGCTTCTTGGCAGGACGTGGGGTGGAGTCTTTGTCCTTGTCAGCCTCTTGTTGTGGATGCGGTGCTTGGAGTTCGGCCTGGTCGACTTTTCGCTTGCGGCTGCTTCTTGTAGGTGGCGGTGGGGCAGACTCGTTGATTACTACCTCCTTGGCGAGATTGTCTAGCACCCTGTCTTCCTCTGGGCCCGATTCTTGCGTCGGGACCTCCGGCGTCTCTTGCTCCTGTACATCTGCAGCCTCTTCCACCACTGGCTCGGATTCTGCCTTTCCTTGTACTCCCGCCTGCGGAATATCGACCTGGTCTGGCAGTGGTGTCTCCACCGTCTTCTCCTTGCCTTTTCCTTGTCCTTTCGGTCTCGATGTCCTCCTTCTCAACATATCCTCGGGGTCGAGGTCCATGTCCGGCACATACACCACGCCGCCCCTCTTCCTGGTTGTCCTGGGCGTACCAGCTTGGGGTGTGCCCGCTTGCGATCGTGCAGGGGGAGGAGGGGAAAGGTCGCTTTCGTCGTCGGCTGGCGCTGGGGCTGGCTCAACCACTTTGGATGGCCCAGCAGCGGGCTGAGCCTGGGATGAGACTTCTTCGACGTCTTGAGTCTCTTTGGACTTGGCGACTTCTTCCGGTTCTTCAGAGGAGAGAGGTGTCAGCTCTTCATCATCCTCTACAGCTTCTTCTTCCTCTCGGATGACCTCGGGGGTCTTGACACTCTTGCGGGACGACTTGCCCCGCGCACTGGCGGTGGATGTAGCAGAACTGGGAGCAGGAGAAGGTCTCTTGGAGGTGTTTCCTTTGGAGCGCCCATTCCCTTCCCAGTTTGAGGTTCCGCCCACAACTGAGCTCGCCTCACTTGTTCTCCTTCTCTTACTCCCTTCCGGCAATACCCATCCTACATTGAATCTCTTGAACTGATCCAAACCGCCCACATCAGTCCCCTCTAGCTCGAGTGCCAAGGCAAGCTCCTGTTCTCTGCGTTCGCGGTCAGACATGATGGGAATAGCCTCCAGCCCCACCACACCTTGTTGGGGTCGCGCGAGGGGCTTGAGGTCGGGATGAGTGGAGGAGAGAGAGGTGGAAGAGGCTCGAGTGGCTGATTGGGGGGCGGCTTCAGTTGGGGTCGCTGTGGTAGGAGCAGAGGCGAGAGCTGATGTTGGTGCGGGCGTGTGGTTGACCTTTGGCCTTCTATCCCTCTTCCTGGGCGTAAACTTGGGGCTCTCGGTAATCTCACCTCCCCTTGTGCTCCTTCGAACTGTCTTTCCCTCCTCATTCTGCGCTATGGCAGTGCCGATCATTAAGGCTTCACCCTCGCCATCTTTCGCTACTCCAGACCCCGGTGATGCCAGCCCCAAGCCTGCCTCTTTTGCGAAGTCCAGCTCCAGTTTCTGCCTGTTCCTCGTGGCTCTGACCAGACCTTGTTCCCTGTCTTCCGCTTCGCGGACTCGCCATTTGGCTTTTCGTTCTTCAACCGTGGGCCCTTTGCGTGTTATCGGTGCAGGGGAGGGAGAGGGTGTGGGAGGTTTAGGCGGGGCAAGTTCGGTGGCAAATAAGGAGCTGAGCAAGTCTTGAGGGGCGTCCGGCCGGGAAGGCACAGGAGTGGGGTTCAAAAAGGGTGAGAGTCTTGCCAACGACGCCTCTAGATCTCCCACCGGCCACTTTTCTCCTGCGTTGACGCTTTCCAGAGCACGAGGGGGTAAGGCGGCTTGGTAGACAGCAGAGATATCATCCAGCTCTGCCAAAAGTGGCTCGGCAGACTTCTTCAGCTTCTCCGCAGCTCGGTAGAAGGGAGTGTCGGGGCCGTTGTAGGTCATCGCGTTGTCCATGACGAGCGTGACATCTCTCTGCAGGCCATGTTAGTTCACGATACGATTATGATGAACGACACTTGCCTTGAACTCTGCGATATCAATGTAAAGATTGCGTTCCAGCTTGTCGTCTATGTAGAGCCAGCAGCGTGGTTCTTTGATGATCTTAAAGTAATCCGGCGCCTCTATTTCCGTTACTGGGTTGAGAAACAGTTCTCTGCGGTCCAGACTTGATCGATGACATTAGCCTCGAGCCTCAGCAAGCACCACGACGTACGCAGAAATCTTCTCCAGAGTAACTCTCATCCTATCACCGTTGGGGAAGATGAACCCGTCCACCAGATCCTTGATGACCTGCACCTGTCGCAGCTTTTCCTTTTCCCTTTTTCGCACGAGCTCTGCGAGCATTCGAACCTTCTCAAGGTCGTTCCGAACAAGCTGGAGGAACTTGAGCTTGAGTGTCTTTTCCGCTTCAGTTTGCGTTTTGGCGGTAGTCGACGCCGTCCAAGGCTATGCCGTTCCGTTCAACAGAGCCCCTTCTGAAGATACGATACTTACCTCCAAGTGCAATCTCTTCAGCAACGGCGCCCCTCTTCTCATCTCCCGCTTTAGACTCCAGTACCTACTTATCATCTCTACCACCGCCGGCTTCTTTCTCAACTGCACCTTTCCGACATAATCCAGGATTCTGTTGACAATCATCTTGGGAATGACAGGAGGGCCAGGGCGAAAAGATTTGGAGTGAGCCTGAGCTGATTTCTTTGTCAAAGGCGCGATTATGATTGGGGCCTTTGGCGTCCTGATGCACCTATTGGAGGCGCCTTTTTTGTGCGAACGCTTGCCTTGAGCTTTTGCCGGGGGAGGTAGAACATGATCGAGATTAGAGCGTGCGTCCCACTCTTCACCCCTACCTTCCCCATCCCCCTGCAGTACATCCGCTTCCTCAACCTATGACCCGTTAGCTTGCCACACAGCCAGAGATGAAGAGAGACGTACAGGGAGATGTCTATGACAATACGCTCTCAGTACGCCGTCTGTGGTGAGCGACTTCATCGTTTGGAGAAGGCCCATTTGCCGAGCACAGGTGGGGTGAAAGGCAGTGAAGCAATTCCGGTTGTCGCACTGTATACACGCCCCGACTTTTTCTTTACATAGGGAACAGACCTGTCGATGCCGAGTCAGATTGGGCTATCGCGCACAGGAGAACGGCCCTTACAAGTTTCCATCGGGATTTTGGTATGTGCTCCAAGCCCTCGACGGGTTCCATGTAGATGGCGTTGCCAAGGGAGGTTTCGGGGATCCAGATAGCACAGAGAAGGTGTGCCCAGTGACCGGTCGTGGTCTGTTTGAAAGCCCCTCCCTCGTTTGGGCAGAATACACACGACTGTTCTGGTTAGCCTGATACTCTTGACCTTTTGAGCTCGACTTACAACAGGATTCTCTGGCGATACCGTGCATTTGCGACACAACCACTGCCCCTCCGGAATATACGGCACGCCGTAACAGTCTTGGTGGACGGCGAGATTGCAGCCGTCGCAAAAGACAATGGCATTGGAGTTTTCGCCTTCGCCATCATCGCAAACAGAACATTTCGAGTCTTCTGCGGGAAGAGAGTGATCGGGTTTTGGTATACGTTTGGACTGGGCCAAGAGTCAGGTTTCGCCAGGAAGGAGACGAAGAAAACTAACCAGGTTGAACCACTCCTTTTCCAATTTGTCCATGATAATCTCAAACACCTCATATGATATCGGTCCGCACTGATCCTTCTTTCTCTCCACGTTCAGCGCGTCCAGCCATACCTGATCTGTAGGCGCGTCGCGTCAGTAATGTTGTCAGGGACGCGCGATCTGCTCACCTTGCTCATCCATGTCATACTCTACTTGTACAGAGAGCTCCGATTCTATGGGTTCTTGAAGCACCGCGTAAGCACCATAAGCGCATACAACGGTGTCTGCCTACCTATATAGCGGATGTAGTGTTCAGGACGTTCAAAATCAGAGTAATCATTGACTGCAAGGAATTAGTGATACGGCGCCACCCTAGTTTCAAGTACTGACACCCATAGGATCTGCTCTGTTCCTATCATCAGTGCATCAGTAAATTATCCCCGAGTCCCGGCTGCTGGAGCGGAAAGATAGGCCGACTTACAGACTGGACGCCCGCTGGCTGCAGGAGGGAGCTGTCGTCGTCGATGATCCTGTATGAGACAGTGGGCAGAGAGCCCGCTGCGTCTGGACCCATGGCGCTGAGGGGGCAGGGCAGGAGGAGGAAGAGGAAGAGGGACAATGAATGGACGATACGCGTCAAATGGTGCGCACATATCAGCGGATTATTGTTGCCCCACGTGCCTCTCGGTCATCGCCGCCCGTTTGTTTGTACATGTTTGTAACGGCAACGGTGCAGTGCGCCGGCATTGCGGGGTGATACGAAGTGCAGCTCCGTTGTGGATCTACCAAGAGTAATGATGGGAGCGAGTATGTGCTTTCGAATACGATGTGCGCGCGACGGGCAGGTATCAAGCATTGTATCAGGCTCATGCCAGCTTATGCCAGCTGGAATACATCTTCTATCCTACCAGGCAGAGTCCGCGTCGCTGCTGCACGTCTTCTGGGTCTACTGATGATTCGACCTTCCACTCCTCACCCTCCTCATCGGCCTTTGGCTCCCGAACGGTTGCGCCCTCTTCGCCTCCCACTCCTTCATCTCCTCCTTGCTTAGATGTTCCGGCGCCAGCCCGAGTCTTTCTCTCGCGTTCTCTCTTGCCCTTTTCAATATTGCCTCGCCCATACTCCAACGTTTCGCCGTGTCCTCTTTGCTGAGATCTAGCAGGTGCTCACGTGCGGCTTTATAAAGAAGCATGGGGTCCTCTGCGAGGGGCGCCAAATCGGGGGCGGGAGAAGGCCGGGGGAGCGAGGCAGGAGTGAGGACCGAGGATAGCTGAGGCGGGCTTCGCAGAGAGGCATTTGCGATGGGAGCAGTGCTCGCTATGACAGTACCCGCGTTCGATGATTGATCTTCTCCCTCCCTATGGGCTTCAGGTTCTGTAGGTGGCTCTTCATCCCTCACCTCCTGTGACTGTTCGCCAGGGTCTCTCTCATCAACGACTTCAGCTCCTGCCCCCAGTTCTACCCTTGGGGTTCCCGCATCCCGATTGGCCATTCTCTCCTCATCCTCATCATCCGAATCTCGGACGGACGATATCAACGAGCAAGCGTCAGACTCATCTGCTCCATTAACCTCCGCCTCCTGCGATTCTCTCAACTTTTCCGCAAGCACGCCGGGGGCGTGCGAGCGTATGCAGATCTCGACGATGGCTTCGGGCAAGAGTATGAGCTGCACAAAGAGGTCGCGATCAGAGGGCGAGAGGGCTTCATAACGCCCCGAGCCAGATGGTCGGGGGGGCTCTGGTGGACGTTGCTGTCCAGGAGTCAGAAGATGGTCGAATTTTGACAGTGAGATACAACTTGCCTCCGCGTCCCTCCACCTCTCCCTCCTCAGTGCCCATCTCTTCAGCTCTGGTAGCAGCACACCGACAATCTCATCCTCGGAGTAGTCACCGCTATTTCCCTGTGCCTTTAGAGACTCTCTGTCGTTCCCGCCACGATGGAACGCGTCCATGCGCCACTGCGCCGGTGGGTAGGATTCATCTAGCACCAGTTGAAGATGAGGGCGGATGAGACAGAGTTGTTCTGCGCTGGGAAGATCGCTGTAGTCGTCGGGGGAAAGCGCTTGTTGTGTTGAGATCGGTGTGGGGTGGCTGGGGCCGGCGTCCGGTGAAGGATCTTGGGGGGGAGGAGACGGCGGGCGAAAGTCGGCATCAGAAGTGAACTTTTGATCACCACTATCCGTGAAATCGTAATTCCCAAGCTATGACACAGCATTAGTTTACTCATCAACCAAGCATCGGAGGGATATTCACTTTGATCGTAGCGATCCGTTCGTCTTTTCTGGTGACGATATCCTCCAACTTTATCTTTTCGTGAACCTCGCCATTGAAATCTCTGACTACGCAATAATCCTTTCCGGCCCGTTGGTCAGCCTCATTCTTGGCGGGGCGAAACTCCAAGAATTCGCCAATGTACCAACTCCCGGCCGTCTTGGGATATTTAGCAAACACAAAACAGGTATCAAAGAGCCTGCCCCTTGTTCAGCCGAAATCTCGAGAGAAAGGATGAGACTCACGCGTCCGGTCTTGTGGTGGGCCTGAATGCGGGGACGTCTTCATCATCGGAAAATTCTCCACCGCCTTGCTGTTCCTTCATCTCGTCACCCGAGTCCTCGAACATACGCATCAATACGTCGTGATTCTGATCATCCGGCGCATCTTGAAAACTATTCAAGAAGTCAAACAAAGGTGGAGCCTCATCCTTGTCAGCCTTCCTCCCTTTCCCTTTTGTGACAGATGCCTGGGAGCCCCTCGGAGCCGCCTTCCTGTGTTGCGATTTCGGTTGAGAAGGAGAGGACATTCTGGCGTCGTCGTCACATAGAGAGGGACTTGATGCCCCCAATTTGGTGCGCTTGGTTGGCTTTTTGGCGCTCCCGTTCACATCTTTGGTGGTGGCTTTACGCTTGGCAGCTAAGCTCTGGCGTTTCCTGCCCTTCTCCGGTGACCTTTCATCTTTCTGCCCCTCATGCGATCCAGACTCGTCTTCGCTGTCGGGATCCTCAACGAGGGCAGCTGCTCGAGCACGTCTACCCTTTGTTGGGGTTGCCTTCGCTGTCCGTGTACCTCGGGCTTTCCCTTTTGCCGGCGCACGCTTCGCCTTTCCGAAGCTCTCATCGCTTTCCCCTTCCTCACTGCTGCTTTCTCCTGAACGTCTCTTGGCCAATGACTGTCTTGATTTTGCCTTGCGTTCGGTCTTTGGCTCTGGCAAGGGTCGCTTGATCGGCGAGTCGGACAGATCCGATAGCTCAGACTCGTCCTCGAATGGCACAAGACCCTGCGCAACCCCCGTCATTGACGTCGGCATAGCCATTGAAGCCGGGGTTTCAGAGTCCGGGTCGGGGCCTGCTGTTGCGGGTCGGCCCTGTGATCTTCTGGCTCTTTTTGGCGTGTTGTTGGGCATTGTGGCGGCAGGGGTATTGGACGGAGGCGCCACATCGTCCGTGACCGCCCTCAGTCCCTCGTCAACACCCGCATCCTCCATGCCCCCCTCAGGAAGGGCTGCCGGGGAGTTCTCTGGATTGAACGACATGCGGGCCACCGGGGGTCTACCCTGCCTGGAGCGGTTTGCCCTGCCGTATGTGGTGACTCGTTTTGGGAGCATTGGGATGCCGGGTGTTGATGGAGAGAGAACGCGTTCATTACATCCCGAAAACGCGTTCAACAGGGTCACGTGGTCTACACTTGGGGGATCGGGACACCTCGCTCACTCAGCCGTATCAGTCATTGTCGGCGCGGTCATTCACTTTGCATTCACTCGTTCACCTCATAGCAACATGTTCACAGGACTCGTATGTACCCATGCAGCATACGGCGCAGGTGCTGATCCTCGCTTAGGTAGAACACCTCGCCACCATCTCCGCCATCTCCCCCACAGGCGCTGACCACTTTACATTCACCCTCTCCGATGCCGCCCCCATACTCATAGACTGCTCCATTGGCGATTCCATCTGCGTCAACGGTGCTTGCTTGACTGTAACAAGCTTCACTCAAGACAGCTTCACCGTCGGTCTCGCGCCCGAGACTTTGAGAAGGACAGACCTGGGAGAAGTCAAGGTGGGAGACAAGCTGAATTGCGAGAGGGCTATGGCTGGGCATACCCGATTCGGCGGACACATGGTGCAGGTAAGTACAGTATCCACACACTTGATCCAGCTAACAGTACCCAGGGACACGTGGACGAGACTGCTCAAATACTGAGAAAGGTCCCCGACGGTGACTCTATTCGCTACACTTTCCAGCTTGCCCCCTCCACCTCCCTCCTCCCATACATCATCGAGAAAGGCTACGTCACCATCGACGGCGCTTCTCTGACAGTCACTGAAGTCGACGATGAAAGCCGGACCTTTGGCATCATGCTGATAGCCCACAGTCAGGAGAAGCTTACTTTGACGGCAAAGGAAGTTGGACGCACTGTAAACGTCGAAGCAGATTGTGTAGGGAAGTATGTGCTGGGGAGTACGGACAGAATCAGTGCGATGGTGGAGAGAATCGTGGAGAGCAAACTCAAGGCTAGGGGCCTATAGTATAAACGGTTGTGCGGACCGTTGCATGTATATGTGCATGTCTGCGTCGCCGTCTGCTCGTATGAGCTCTCTCTTTCAGCAGAGATATGTGCGTGACTCTGTATACCGTGGCAGGCAGGCCCGCCAATGGCGATCAGACCTTTTGGTGGCCATAGTCCCAACTGACATCGGGGTATCTTCACTTGAATACTCAATTGTACAACAAATACATCGAGGCACTTCTTTCCGGAGCTAGATCCTTTACATTCTTCAGGGGCGTCTGCTGCAGTACATTCGAGTCTGGAGCGCTAGTACTCAGAATATCTATAGATCAATATACTGCAACAGTCCGAAGCGGGTGACGATCCCTTTGTCATCTTCCTTGGACCGACATACCGCACCCCGACATAGTCAACGTCTCGGGAGAGGCGAGAGCGACTACGCCACCATCTACTCCGGTAGTATGGCTCGCGGCTGCGGTCTGAATGGTATCCGCACTATTCGAGCTGGAAGGCCCCGAGGTAAGACCAGGCTCTTCAGAAACAGCATTGAAGGAAGGAGAAGAATCACCTTCAAAGATCGATGGCTCACGTAACACCCCGATGTCACTTCGATAGCTCCATTCCCACTCACTCGCCCATCGTTATCCATCTTCATTTCGAACGAAACAGCCCCTGCTTTCATGGGGAACGACAATGTGTGGACGCCTGCCTTGTCAACGATCTGCGAAGAGGTCGAAGATCCGGACGTGACTGTGATCGTAGCAGCTCCAACGGCGACAAAGATAGAGTCGGCTGCCATTTCGGCGCCACTAGGCTTGCTTCCAACGCTGTCTGTAGAGTCGCACCTGGTTTTCAGTCAACCAAAAAAGCTTTCTGTGGCGAGTCAAGCCCACTCACTCTGCGTCCTTGAGACTCGGCCGGTACCAATAGACGAGCCTATTCTCAGTGACTGATACATCTTCCGAACCAGCTTTGAACGCAGTGATGAATGGACCCATCATATGTCCATGAAAGCAGAATGGTCGAAATCTTTGCTCCACGCTTCATTACCATCAGTCGTTTCCGTGCCCCTGTAAGGAGAGATCAAAGAAGACTCGGTCCAGTCATTCCACGTGATGATCTCGACAAACTTGAGCTGGTCAGGATAATTTTTGGTGAGAGAGAGGATCTGTTGCCATCGAGTAGGCCAGAGAGTGTCAGAGTAGAGATAGTAATTCTTCGAGTAACCCGTAGACGCTGGAAGGTGGGCATAGACTGAAATTCATCAGCTTTGAAGGCACAAGGTCATCTAGACGCTCACACCAGGGAGGCACAGGGGCCATGTAGGTCTTATCAAGAGGGCCAAGAAGGTCGAGATATTCCTTGTCTTTGTCCGTGGTCATGTTCTGGTTGACAACATCTTCGGTTCCCTCACCGGGCCATGCTGACCTGTGAATGATGAGCAGTTGTGCAGAATGGTACGGTGTTTAGCGCACCAAGAAAAGAGACCGTCCACGCCCTTAGTCCCAGCGGCAGACTGACTGGCGTAGTAGTACGGTACCACGTAAAGATCTTGCCCAACATCGGTCTCGACAGCTTCCCAATCTGTCCCTTCACCCCAAAAGGAAGAGACGAAAGACTTGTCATTGTACCGGAAGTAAGCATCCTCTGTGATCCAGGACTTGAGAAGGTCGGAGACTGGTTCATGGTCCTCGGTAGAGTAATGCACGAAATCAGGGGAGATGAAGAGCTTGAATGGTGTTGACAATGCTGACGCGGCTTTGAAGGCGAGTGCGAGCTGTTGGGCATTGGCGTCTTGACCGTCCCAATTTAAAGCCTAGCATCGTTGTCAGTGTAGTAGTCGAGTGGTGAATATGGTTCACGAACGAAGCCATCGATCCCCTTACTCGCCGCCAGCTCGATATCGCGGGTCCAGTCCTCTTGCGTGTAAGCGTCGACAAAGCCAACCATGAAGTGTCTGTTCATCGTCAGCCTTGTGGTCGGAATATGTGTTAGTAGCCCACTCACGCAAAGACATATTGTTCAGCAGAGCTGCTCGTGTCGTTCCGTCGACTCAACTCGGAGTGGATACTTTCGCCCGCAATAGCAAGGCCAGTTTTCAAATATTCCAAGCTGACACCCCCCACCGTGGTCAGAGCTGCCACTAAGAGGCCCAAGCTCAAAGACAACCGCATGATTGAAAAATGACACGAGGAGGCTATGAGACCACATCAGCCCTCTTGTGGTACATTTATAAGTAGGCCGGATAAGAGGTGCAGAATGGAGTAGGCTTGGCGTATCCGAAATGGCAATGACATCCTGATCTCGCGAAGGGGTATCAGAGACGATTGGCAGGGGCAACCGCACAGGGAAATGAATCAGGGGTTTGAAAGGACTAACGTTGGCCGCTTCTTTTGAAATCGACCAAGGGTCAAAAACGTCCGGATCCTTTGCGATGAATTAGTGCCGAGAACACGACAGGAGGAAGATCCTACCCGCTCTTCCTTTATCAAAAGGCGCCCACTTGCATAAGCAAAGGTGTGTCTCACAGTCCACCATGTATATCCAATCAAGCTGGAGAAAGTTTTCGCCCAACGAAAGTCCATTCAGTTGCAGAAGGTAGATGGATAGTGACGGAAGACTATAAGTGTCACAACCTAGCTGGGACGCAGCAGGGAAGGGACTGGAAAAGGTGATTTTGGAGGGGAAAGACCTTTTCGGTATTATCGCATGAGGAAAGAGTAGATAACGAGATTTGAATTGAGTATGTACACCGCGCGTGCTTCAACCATCCACACACAACTCAGCGCCAATGCCACTTCAGGGAATTACTACGTGTGACAATAAGTGGTGTGGGGAGAGAAGGCGAGCTGGGTCATTTTATGAGGCGTACACGGAAGGAAGGTAGACTCCCAGATATCAGAGCCTCCACCGTATCGGCGAGTCTCCTTCGTAGGGATGCTTGACATAGCAGAGATGCATGTGTCCATATGGTACAAAGCCGAGGTATCGGTATACAACAGTGATTCTTGACACTTTAGCGCTACATCTGACATCAGTTGAGTTGGCTCAGGCTTCGACAACAAGAGTGAACGTACCATCATCCTCATGTACGCAAGCTAATTGCGAGCGATCTGTCAGCGTGGCCCATAGTTAAGCAATTTGTCACTTACTAGAAGAGCTCCGGAACCAGTGGCGACACCAACCAAGTACTGCAGAATACTAAACTTTGCTTGCTCGATCTGTGTTCGCAGACCAGCTATCTCACTCTCGATCCTCGTGTCCACCTCTTTGATCTTTAGCTCTTGCTGACTACTCTCATCTCTTATTCTGCCCTTCTCCAGATTGAGATCCAGGCGGACGCCTGCTTGCGTCCGAGTAACTTCCTCACGAAGACGTTGCTTGAGTTTCTCGACATCCGCCATCAAGCGGTCGTTCTCGGCCTTCATCAGAGTAAGGTCGTTCTTCTCATGTAGCTGAAGCTCGGACTTGAGTCTGGCAAAGTCGACTTTCTCCGTGTACCGTTGCTAGTGTAGTGTAAGCAGGCTCTTTTGCGTACATAGCAGACCGACCTTCTCCTGTTCAGCTTTGCTGACCAAGCTCGCTTCCATCCCCTTTATGCTCTCCTCGATCACCTCCGCCAAAACACTCATCACTCCCTCCGCTGACTCCCTTGTCATGCCATTCTTTTCGAGTTTTTCCACAAACAGATAGGTATCGAAATGTGATAGAGATCTCCGGGGCGAGGCTCCGAAGGGGCGAAGGTGCTGGAGTGGGGGCGAGGACGTGCGACGAGCGGTATGTGTCAGAGCTGCCAAAGGTCAGTCGCTGCACCAGAATGACGCCAAAGGAAGCTCACACAGCGCGGTTCTTGCGGCCGACCTGTTTGCGATGGGCAGGGAGAGAAGGGAGGCCATTTCGGTGCGAGATGCATGAGAGAGATGGAGAGCACGATGCTGTCATCGCCCAGCCTTGGTTGGCCGTCGGCGAGCCCCGCTTACGGGAACAAAACACGAGACAGCAGCGGAAGCAAAATAATTTTGAGCAGGCCTGTCCACTGGCGACAAGATTTGTGCCAGAGTTGCGAATCTTGTGCCCCTACATCAAAATCAACTTCCAGAATGCAGGTAAGTTGGGATGGTACACTGGTAGGATGCGGTAGCAGGAGCTGACCTTTGACAGTCCGACGACGTTATCTGGTCTGTCATCAACCATCAGTGAGTGATTCCTTGTTGCCCCTGTGCCTATGCTGACTCTAGACAGGTTCTGTTCTTACAAAGTCAAGTGAGCTTTGACGCCCTTCTGTAGACGCGAGGATGTGCTTCTAATAATATCTCAGGACTGCCACCCAAAACTTCTGCCGTAACGAATACAACCTCACTGGGTTCTGTACCCGACAATCATGTCCTCTTGCCAACTCGCGATATGCCACTGTCCGTGAGAAGGAGGGTGAGTGGATGATGTCTCCTTGCATCACTAAACTATGCTGACTGCTATATTTCATAGGCGTCCTCTACCTCTACGTCAAGACCATTGAACGGGCCCACACTCCTGCCAACATGTGGGAACGCATAAAGCTCTCCAGCAACTACACCAAAGCGCTTGAACAGGTCAGTCCGTAGACGTAAGATGTGAGCAATCGCTAACCAGGTACTGTAGATCGACAAAGAATTAATCTACTGGCCCAATTTCATCACGCACAAGTGTAAACAGAGAATAACCAAAATCACCCAGTACTTGATCAAGATGCGTCGTTTGAGCATGACCCAGCAGTAAGCATCCTTCTGCCTTCGACCATAATCACCCGATTGACAATTGTATCCAGGCCCAAGAAGGTCGGCATCAAGAAGAAGCTCGAACGTCGTGAAGCTACCCGTGAACGCAAAGCCCTCGCTGCCGCCCACCTCGAGAAGAATATTGAGAAAGAGCTCCTCGAGCGACTGCGCTCAAAAGCTTACGGCGATGCTCCTCTCAATGTCAACGAAGATGTTTGGCAACAAATTCTGGACATGGACAGCAAGGGCAAAGACAGGGATCTCGAGATGGATATGGAGGACGACGAGAGTATGGACGAGGAGGAAGAGGAGGAGTGGGAGGGAGGAGAGAGGGAGTACGTGGAAGACACTGATGATGAGAGTGTGGGCGATCTGGAGGACTACAGCGGGAGCGAGTTTGACGAGTTTGATTCCGAGGCGGAGGGGTCGCAGGGACAAGCATTCCCCTCTGACCTCGAAGTCTCTGGGGACGAGGATGAGGATGACGAGGGTTCTGAAGCTTCTGGCGCCTCTTCACCCGCAGCTCCTGCGCCCAAAAAGGCTCCCGCTCCTGTGGCTGGTACCAAGCGAAAAGCACCCAAGTCTGGTGGACCTGCGAAGAAGGCTGGCAGGAAGCCTAGAGTGGATGTCGAGTATGAGATGGAGACTGAGCCACTCTCTAGAGAGATGCTGAAGGACTGGTAGGGAGTTTACGAACGGAAGGGGATTACGACTGTATTGTATGCATTATCTATATTCAGCTGCTTTCTGTATCGTCACTGGATGAGGACCCGTGTGAAGGCGGGGCTCATCAGAAGACCCCAAGTCTTGACGAGATACCACAGCTCATGGGCCGACACCACTGACTGAAGCGCGATACTACACACATTTCATGATGCATGTTGCCATACGGTGATATAAAACAAACAATTTCCTATTGATTTTTTTTGCGATTTCGTCTCAGACCTAGATATACCGAAAGAAGGAAGAGATAGAGAGAAAGGGACCATGCGGTGTGAAATATCTCGTTATAGAACATATGCGAAGGAAGAAGGGATAGTACAAGAAATTGATGGTGGTAGGAGTTATGCGAAGGGGAACGGGTGACTGTAAACTTTGTACGATGGAAGAGGGGGAGGGGATATTGCCGATCAATGCTATACACGGATACAGTGTCGCGATGCCGAATGATGAAGAAGCTCATATAGCCAGCTCAGGCATGACAGAAGCGCTCTGTTTTCTCCTCTTCTTCTCCTTCTTCCTCCCGCTCCTGCCGCGCCCCTCCTCTACAGGGCCCAACACAGGAGACATCAACATTCTCCCGCCCATAGGCCCAACGAGAGTATCATCGAGACGGGCGTTTCCGGGTGAGGGGTAGGCACTGGCAACGCCGAGGGAGAAGCTAGCACGAGGTTCCACAGCGGCAGCAGCGTTGGGAGTGCCAAAGTTGCGTCTGAGATATGTCGACACACCGACTCTGTCAAACCTGAGCATGTGGCGCAGATGTTCGGCCGCCACCGGCTCGCCTTCAAGGCCCTCTCCAGCACCATCCACGAGAACGCCCTCCTCCAACATATCTTCCAGATTAAACCCATCCTCTTCGTCATCCGTTGTGGTATTCCGGTCTTCTTCTGGCATGAGCGCTTCAGCAGCCCTTCGAGCGGCGACATAGCGCGGATGACCAGGAATGGACGAGTATCTCAACTTCTTGGACTTGGTAGAAGCAGTCGGCTTGGGTGTGGAGGGAGACATGGCAGAGGGAGAGAAGATGTCACTCTGTGATTTCCGTTTACGCTCCTTGTCCTCTCTGGAGGAAGCCAAGCTGGCAGCATCACGATTTCTGCGAGAGCGGCGGCGGTGGGTAAAGGGTGATTTGGTGGTGAGGCCCGAACCGTCAATGACGGCGTGCTGGGCTGGGTCACCGGTAGGGGGAAGGAATGTGCCCATTTGAGGCACATTCGACGGGGCTGGCATGTCGGAAGGGGTTGGCTCCGCAGATGAGGGGGTTGTTGGGAGTGTATTGGATTCGAAGGGGGCGGAGGAGGAGGTTGTCGACAAGGCAGGGGTAATCTCACCGACCGCTTCCGTGATAGTGATGGCTGGCCCGGGGACACTCGCAACAGCCTCTGGCAACACCATACCGCTGATATCGCCCCCGTCCACCGTCATGCTGAGAACGGCCTCGGCCATTTGATGCTCCATCATTTCGTTCAACGCCGGACTGTCCAGCATCGGCATGTCCTCCTCCGCCATCGAGTCGGTGGTGTCGCCCCCGTCGTCCTCGTCTGACATACCGCTCCATGAAGAAGTGTCAGATTCAAACTCTCGGTCGGCAGCGTCGGCGTCGATAGTGAGATTGTGAACCTCGGTACCGGATACGACGGAGCCATTGGTAGACGCGCCAGTGCGAGAACCTCTGTCACCGCGGTGGCGTGAACGACTCCGCTCAACACGAGGCTGCACGAGTACAAATTGCCCGTCCCAATTTTCCATCAGGATCAGCCCCGGGTCCTCTGCGCCATTTTCTGCCAGTTCCAACGGCAAGTGCGGGGCAGAAGCGACCGGAAAGCCGAATTCGTCGAGCACTTCGTCATCTGTCTCGTCGTCTGTGGACGAGTCAGAGTCGCGAATTGATACAGAGGATTGTGATTGTCGGTCGGCTTCGGATCCGGATAGTTGGTCAATGTACATCTGTTGATATCGTCAGCCGCGGGTCAAATTTTTGTAGATGTGGAAAGTGACACACTTCTTCGTCTTCGTCGTCGGATCCGTCTTCTGCTCCTCCCCAGAATGCCATCTCTGCATCCAAGTCTCCTGCACCGTATGCGAGATCTTCAATCTCCTGACCAATGAAGGCTTCCGGAATGCCAGCAATGGTGTGCTCCTCGTCAGTGATTCCGTGATCTGACTCGTCGTCTCCATACGACGAGGCATCATCTTCGTGTATCGAGCGGTGTTGGGAGGTGCTTTGTGTGGGAGTCTGGATCAAGTCAGCCAAAGATCCTTGGATGTTGAGAGACAGACATACAGCTCCATCTCCAAAGTCCTGGTCCACATCAAACTTGGCATCCCTCGCTCTTCTGATTTCCGAGTCTTCCAGCTTGATAGCCTTCTTCTTGTCTCTCCCCAAAGGACCCGTAGTCGTCTTGGTATTGATATCTTTCGATGAATGGCTCTTCTTTTTCGCTTGCGGATTCTTGCCCTTTTTCGGTGCCGCTTTCTTTGTAGCACTCTTCTGCACACTCCCCGAAACCCCACCGGCAGCAGACGGTCGCCCCTTGTGCGCCCCTTTCCTCGGTGTCACCAGACTTTCATACCTATCGTCTTCCTCCTCTTCGTCGGAAGAAGCAGGGGTGAGGTCGGAATCCGAGTCGGACAAGAAGGTACGCTGGTGGGACGACTTCAGTCTTGGGCGGGCAGCGGATTTGGAGGAGCCGGCTTTTGCATACTGCAGGGAGGAATGCTGAGAGGCGGGCGAGGGGTGTAGAGAATTTGTAGGGGATACTAGGGCTGTTGAGGATGCGATGTTAGCAAGGCACTGTAGTTCCCCAGCAGCAGTGACGCACCTTTCGGCCCGCTATTATGACCGCTGGGCATGTTCAGAGCCCAGGTATTATGTAGTGGTTCTGGTCAGAGGGGTTGGCGTTCCCGGCGGGGTGGGTAGGGGCGGTGGGGTGAGGGGGCGAGCAGTAGCTAGGGCGGGGTGTGGTTGTTGTGGATACGCTGTGGGACATTTACCGGGCACGGGGGCGGGGGGTGCCGTTGGCTGGGATGCTGGCAGCGGGATAGAAAGATAGAAAGCGGAATGTAGTTGTAGGTGTATATGCAGACAGCTCTTGTGACCGCTTCCGCCCACCGCCGCGAGAATCTTGAAATCTTTTTTACGCTATTCCGTCCCTTAAACAGTAACAACGCAATCACCAACAAGCCGCGGCCCCAGCTTGCCCACGTGGCTGCGTCAGTTCCGATCGCCAATCCAACTGTACAGGGCGGGGCATGCAAAGCATAAGGTCCATCCGTTTCATGACAAGGCTCAACGTGAACATAGCAAAAATCAAAACATGCACAAATGAAGGTGGTCGCTGGTATGGCGTAACGATGGGTACAAAGCTAGTGTTAATAGAGTTTGATTATGAGAAACACTGAGCGCCCAGAAAATCCATCCTCTATCTCTCCTCCGTCACTCCCCCAGTGTACTTCTAGATCATAAGACAGACTTGAGCAGCAACAACCCCAGTGTACTTCTAGATCATGAGACAATCTTAAGCAGCAACGACCATGCCAACGGCGATAGCACCGAGGGCGATAACAGCCTTGCCAAGAGTAGCCGATCGGCCCGCAGCGCTGCTGGACGAGCCGCTGGAAGAGCTGCCAGAGGCAGAAGACGATCCGGACGCGGCGCCAGACTCGCTGGAGGCGCCCGCAGAGCCAGCAGCGGTCGATCCGGTAGCGCTGGCAGCAGCAGACACCTCGGAACCAGTCTCGGTACCAACAGTAGCCTGGAAGAAGGTGCTGGCAGCAGACGTGACCTGGGTGGTGGTCTGGTTGGACGAGGTCTCAATGTAGGCTTCAGAGATGTCCTTGCCGAGACAGTTGATGATAGACTTGAGCTGGTAGGTGCCGTTGGCGAGAACCTGAGGGAGAATGTAGCCGACAGCGAGATCAACGGTCTGCTGGTACACTGATACATAGGTCAATGGCCATCACACGTTGATACGGGCTGTACTCACAGTCATGCTCGAGGACGACGAAACCGTTGTCGAGCTGAGGGGCGTACTCGTTCAGAATCTTTTCAAAGGTGGCGTAAGAAGAAGCACCAGTGGCAGAACCGCCAGAGATGTGCCAGTCGTTCTGTGGGATTTGAGCGATACACCTTCAAACCGATAACCGCACTTACAGTGTCAAAGTTGATAGTCGAACCGTTGTCCTCAAAGGAAGTCCAGATGATAGGGGTCAAACCCATCTGAGCAGCGACGTATCGCACTCGGTCGTCAATGTCACCGTAGGGAGGTCGGAAAGTGTTGGGAGTGACACCGGTGGCATCCTTGATGACCTTCATGGTCCAGGCAAGCTCAGCGACAATCTCCTCGTTGGTAAGGGTAGTCAACGCAGGGTGAGACCAGGTGTGAACAGAGATTTGGTGGCCAGACATGTACTCGGTCTGGAGAATCTCGGGTCGAGACAGGGCTCGGGAACCGACAACAAAGAAGGTGGACTTGATGTCGTTCTCGTCCAAGTAGTCAATGAGCAGGGGAGTGAAGGGGGAAGGTCCATCGTCGTAAGAAAGACCCCAGGTGTTCTTGTCGGGGCACTCGGTGATATCAGTGTCTCGGGCTACGCATTGTCAGCACAGTCCCTGAGCGAGAGGCGAAACTTACTGCATCCACCACAAGTCCACCAGCATCGACCATCGTTGACCGCATCGGTGCTGGTAGAGCAGTCACCGGTGGTCACGTTGTAGGTGGGCGCATTGGTCAAGTCAATCTTGTCGAGCCATTCCGTGACGAGAGACGAGTTGGTGGGAGGGGTGACATCCAAAGTAGGATAGTCGGCGATAGTGAGGGCAGAAGTGGGGAGGGCGGGGGCGCCAGAGATTGAGGGGGTGGCCCCAGCGGTGTATGTAGTATCAAGGGCGACTGTAGAATCGGTTGCGGCTCCTGAAGTGAGGGCGCTCAATGCACTGCGAGAACACGGAGTGTCAGCCAATCATCCAGACAAACGTTGTCCCTTTAGGGGGTTGCCTGAAATAGACTAAATGTAACAAGGGGAACAGCTCGGGCCTGGTGGCGCATGTGACTGTCAGGTATTCGACTTACGGGATGGCAAAACCAGATGGCCCCGCCGAGGAGGCGGTGATGGTCAATATCGAGCTGTCGACAGAGGTGTCTGTTGTCTGCGCCATAGCACCGACGAGGGAAAGCAAAAGGGCAGTGGTGTATCTAGCCATGGTGAGGTGCCTGAGGGGGGATGGGTTTTCAAGACTCTGGGATGTGTCGATCTGGGATGGGGATTGAATAGATGCTGAAGAGCTGTGGAAAGTTGGATTCTAAGAAACGACATGTATCAGCAAAAGCTGTGCCAATCGGCGTTGACGGGAGGCGCCAAGTCAGGGGCACACGCGTTGCTGGGACGCGTCGCTGACCTTATGGTGAGAGGAGCAGACGAGGGCGAACGTACCTATGGTGCCGAAACGGGAAGTGGAGGATGTGTGACTTGGTCGGGATGAAGGAAGAGATGCAACAGAGGAAAGAGATGCAAAATCAAGTAAGCGTTTTATGTTGTCCTCTAGGGGTAGGGCACGTCCTCTTGGCGCGGGCGCGAAATCAAAGAGCACACGGCGGCGGCGACCGGCAAGAGTGACACTACAGGCACAGAAACGCGCTATGACCCTGAACGACGCGAAGCTTGGTTTTTTACCTTGTTGTTGTTCTCTATGTTGTTCTCTATGAACCTAGACGTAACGCGCGAGGGAGCGGAGGATGATGTGGTCCGCCAGATGTGGTCATAGAAGGGGACGGTATTGGGAGCCGATACGAGGGCTTTCGTACCCGCGACGTGGCCTGACTGCTGCGGGGGGCCGGTGCAGAGAGTGCGGAGGGTCTGATCGGCCCTTTGCAATGATTAGTTTGTGATTCGTGGTGATCAGCCGAATCGGACACTCTCCACTTCGATGTCACGTCAGTCGTCAAGAGCTATGCAAGGTTGATTTCGGGATCTTGAGATGGCGATGAGCAATCTTTTTTCGTCCGGCGATTTCGATCGAAACTCTCGCTTTGCGGAGCTGGTAGCAAGACTGAGATGGAGAGAAGGAATGTACATTCTGAAAACAACCCATCTCGGATATCCCGGAGGGCCCGCAGGGACTGACAAAAGATTCAAGTCGGGCCTAGTGCATATCTGCATAAAGGAAGCAAGGGGTTGTGCCGTTGGACGGAAGCCTTTGTTAAACTCGGAGCAAGAGGGTGCACATGAAATGGATGTGAATTTGCAGAGTACAGTATGCTTATGGGGATGGCATGGTTACCTACGAGGGGCGATCGGGATAGCTAGAGTGGGATGCCTAGTAAGATGCGTGCATTGAGGTCCATCAAACTAGCGGAGCCAAGCGTCTCTGAAAAGAGCAAGGAGCGGCGACGACCGCTTCTACGCACTTATCGGTGATACGCATCAAGGCGCACATTTGATTCCGTTGAGCGCGCCACATTTCGTAAATCCGGACCACTTTGCTCTGTTCGTGTCGTTTAGCTGCTTACAGCCAGTTTGGTTCTCTCCCTTATCCCTCAAAACTTCCACAAAGATGGCTTCCCGGTACGTCTACACGCTCCTTCGATAGTGCTGTGCTTACAATCTATCCTCCAACTTTCCCCACTCGAAAAATCCCCCTCCGTCTCGACTTGCACCTTACACTAAATCTCAACAAAATTCCTGTCTCTCTACAACCACAACCGTCAATGTCAATCCACAGACTCTACACCAAGGGCCGAATTATCGGGCACAAGCGAGGAAAGCGAAACTCCCGCCCCAACCAGTCCCTCGTCCAGGTCGAGGGTGTTGACAGCGCGGAGGCCGCTAGGGCTTACTTGGGGAAGGTGAGCGATCATTAGGAGGGCATGGCATTGGGGCGGGTAATCCGGGATGTGGATCGCTAGGGGGATGTTTAGAGATATGAGAATGGGACAGCAGAGTCGGCGGAGAGAGATAGCGAGGATACCCACGCCCATGCCCTGCCAGCATTCTTCGGGCCAACCACTAACGTGTCTTGCAGCGAGTTGCCTACGTCTACAAGGCCAAGCGAGAGATCAACGGTTCCAAGGTCCGAGTCATCTGGGGCCGAATCTCTCGATCTCACGGTGGTAACGGTGTCGTCAAGACCAAGTTCCGAACCAACCTCCCCGCTAAGACTTTCGGTGCCTCTTGCCGAATCGTGAGTATTCACTGGGCGTGCGATGAAGCGAAGGGCTAACGTGCATTTTCAGATGCTTTTCCCCTCCAACATCTAAACTCCGCATACGACCAGCATTCTACATATCCCAAACCCGCTTATGATACGAATGTGATGTATCATTTCGGGAGATGCAGCACATCAGGCAAAACAGACTCTGGATTGTGGCAGCAGGTGGCATTGGGAGCTGAGAGGATGGAAGGAAGAGGTTAACGGGTCACGAGTCACGAGTGAAGCGAACCAAAGTGTGCAATGGTCAGCATCGCGTTATGGCTTCGCCTCGGTCAATTGCACAGGTCTCGCAGAGTTGTTGCTATCTGCGACCAGAAATCGCTCAACTGACTTGGGTGTGCTCTTTGGCTTCATTTTCTCCAGCGCCCTTTCGGACAGAATCACCATGTTAAAATCATTTACAAGCTTAGCTTCTCCAGTCTATCAACAGCGCGCATCAAGACTCCCGCGCGCCGGAAAAGCTGGCCAAAATATCCTCCCATCGTCAAGTCAATCTCGGATCCACCAGTTCATCGGACATCACGCAGAGTCACTGACTTCTCACGAGATTGCTATATCCATTGCCTGCAGATCGCCAAACATGTCTATGTCATAGGAAATTGTCCATGCTAATCGAACGGGAAGAGTATAGTCACACTTCACGCTCAAATGGAACCTTCGTTCAAACACAACCGCCTGGGGCTGATACGCCCGCTCTGTCAATGTGCCCTATACTCGATTTATCGTGCTGGTGCAAGCCTCCTGGTTTCCATAGCTTGGATATTGATATGTGTGGCATACTGTTACAACAAGATATACTAATTCAGCGACCCCACACCTTGACAGTGCCGTCCGCAGACGCTGTGATCATCTCCTTCCCCTTGGGATGTAGTTGAATATTGGTGATAGTCTTTTTATGTATTGGTGTAGGGCTTGATTCAATGGGTTTGGCCTGGTGCGACATCAGCGCAATATTCGACAACGGACACAAGACTCACATCAAGAACGTTGTACGCCCACAGCTTTCCATCTGCGTCGCCTGCGAGTACCAGCCCATCGCCGTAGCCCCATTCTGTACCCCATTTGCCTGTTTTTTCCCCTACATTGTGCCCTTCAAACATCTGCAGGCACCCCCCATCCTTCCTGTCAAAGACTCTCATCTTTCCGTCGTTCGTGCCGACCAAGACGCTTTCTTCCGGGGCCGTTGGCGATAATTTCAGAGACGATATAGGCGTTCCGATGAGGTCCTCCGTCAATAGACCGAATCGCAGATCATAAGTCCTCATGAAACCGTCTGCCGAGCCAGTGATCACCTGCGGAGAAGTGGGGAGGATGAGGGAGGTGATGGTGGAAGTGGCTTCTTTGAGTGTTTGAAGGGGGTCTCGAGAGGCGGCACGCATGTCCCACAGCATGACTTTGGCGTCGAATCCAGCTGGTGAAGAGTTAGCGGGAAACTAAGGCCAGGATAGCAGGCATACCACTCGCGAGAACCTGACCATCTTGACTGAAAGCAACGGCATTGATGTGACCAAAGTGTCCCTGTAATCGCCGGGTCACAGCACCTGATGGGACGTCCCATAGAAAGACCGCCTTGTCCACACCTGAAGACGCAAACTTGGCATTGTCCTGAGCACTTGTGCACACTGATCAGCAACTTGCAGTCATCGAGAGAGCTGCTATGCGACTTACATATCCAAGGCGAGCACCGGCTGGGCATGGCCCCGGTAGCACTTGATTTCCTTGCCTAAAGCTGGGTTCCACAGCCGAATAGTCCTGTCCGCTGACCCCGTGAGAAGATACTTTGCCCCATGATTGTATTTGACTACGTTGACGGCGCCCTGATGCTCAAGCCTGGCTTGACGTGAGCCTCAGAAGATGGAAGAGACGTTAGACCTCACGTTTGGACCAGTGTCTTTGGATACGAGAGAAGATTTGGGGCCTTGTCGGTCGAGGGACCTGCCAGCGAAGCGGCGCTCATAGGGGCAGGCTGCAGATGGGGGAAACATGCGCAGAGATGCATGTAGACGTCTTGGTTTCATGTGGCGGGAGCAAATGGTTCGCCGTTCCGAAGGACATGTCCGAACAAAAGGGAGGGGGACGCGATCGGGTGAAACAATAATGGGCGGGCCAAAGCGTCGACTCCTGAAATCAGCATCCATCAGCAACAGTCCATTGTACACGTCAACCGCCTCTCATCCCCCGCCCCCCCCATGCCCACCCTCCGACGGGGCTCAGCTGCCTCGCCCCACCACTCCTTCTCCTCCCCCAGCGCCCCCCGCTTCCGTCAGCCAGACATCGCCTACCACGCCAACGACGCCGCTAGCATCATGAGCAGGCCTGAAAATTCGACGGGAGAACAAAAGGCTCTCAATGGCCTCGTCAACAAGCTCGTCCACAAGCTGCCCTGCAATTCGGGCATCCAGTTGACCATCCTGGAGCAAGATGCTGGCGTCAAGGCCACGGTCCAGTCGATTCTCCAGCTGTCGCGTCTACGGCTGCCTCTTGTCGCCCACGCGTTGGTCGGTGCGCTCGAAACGCTATCAAAGGTAAGCATATTGTCACTAGTGTGCCGTGTAGAGGAGGCCGTGCATACCGAAGGGTAAATGCGCAAACGAACCTGGATGGCGAAGCATCTTGGGGCGGGCGTGTCTTGATGCCCGATGCCCTCTCTTTCATGGGACAGGCGTTTGTTGAAAGTAAAGCGCTCCCTACTGAGAGGATCGCTTGGTCGATAAAGCTCGAACGAGACACCACTGACGCCTTGTCTAGTACACCAACCCGTATCATTTCTTAGCGGACATCTCACTGGAAGTTCTCCATTCTCAACTATACCTCCTCCACGTCCTGAATCTCTGCTTCTCCACCTCATGGCGACTACACGCCCAATCCAATGCTCCTCAATCTTCCGACGTCCCCAGGCCGTGGTCCGACCCTCCACCGTTTGACGAAAGCCTTGCAAAATACGTCCTAAGCGTACTGCTGGTCTATACACGCTTGGTCTCCTTAGAATCAGACTTCCTGGACATCGGCGTCCAGCCCGTCAGAGAACAGAGGAATACCGTCTCAGGGTCCTCTTCCTCCTGGGGCAAGGGCGCTGCTACATCCAGCGGGTACTCTTTGGGAACGAAATTCCTCCTGCAACACTCCTATCCTTTGACTCAACAACAGCCGTCTGCAGAGCGGCATATCTCGCCAAATTGCACTACAACAACGGGCACAATAGCTCAGATGACCAAATGTGTTGCCCGCGCAGTCTTTTATCTCTCCGCTGCCAACTGGCCACTGGTCTTTAGCCAGACCAAAAAGCGGATACAATACCTCACCACCACCATTGAGGACGCTCCAGATCTCAATGAGCTCCGGCTGATTGAGTGGGTCAATGTCGACCAGAGTCGATTATCGCAGCTTCTAGCTGAAGTCACGAACGCATTTCTGCATACGAAGCGCCCGGCTCAATCAACTATCGCGACTATGTTGCGAAAGGCCATCCGGAACTGGATCAGCATAAATCCAAAAGAGTACGAGCTCTTCATCGAGACCGGGAGGAAAATGGATGGTGGACCCGATGCCTTGTTCGACGTGCTCTACTCGATGTCTGACCTCGGCTCGTTCTCAAATTCCAAACGCACCAAGGCATTCTATCCGCTCATGTCTATGCTTTTGGTCCTCTGCCCAGACACCCTCAAACGACTTGTCATGGGAGAATCTGCCCGAGGAAGCTCTAGCTTTTCAAAAAAGATATATTTCTTGGACAGTTTCAAAAAGGGTCTCAACTCTAGCAAGGGGTTTGAAGCCTGCGCGATTTGCTATGTTGAGCTCATGAGCGCAGGTATGGCTTTGACGCCTCGGCTAGACGGATCCGGGATCAGGAGCTTCATTCCCGATATTCAGAACGACCTTAAGAATGCGCTTTTCTACTCGCCTCTGTCGAATGAGATATCAGACATGAACGTTCTTGTAGAAGGGCTGGTAGCTCTCTACCGAGCAAACCCCACGACAACGGGAGGTCTACTATTTCCCAAGCTCTGGAATGACTCTGAATCGAGCAAGGTTGTTGCAGTGAAGGCCTGCATATTGATGGCGGTGGAGGGAGGGAGACTACCGTGGCACCCGCCTGTAGTCGACATCATGCGTGAAGTTGGCCCGTCAATACGTGGCCTTATCAAGGTAAGCGCATGAATCCATGACTGGACATTGCTGATGTTTCTCAAGGCTCATGCCATGTCTGTCACCGCAGACAGACTCGGCCCTCGCCGGCCTAGAGGAAGCATTGAACTTCCTGGAGTCCAGAACGACCTCGCGTACGAGATCCTCAGCCTTTATGCCCTGGAGCCTTCTTTCGCTCTCATCAATGTCCGCCTCGATAACTCTTCCGACAGTGTCTCTTCCATCTTTCTTGCCTTGGCTTCTCTTTTGGTCATTCCAAACCCTGAAATCATCCGGACTGCCACAGCCAAAACGAGCATTTCGTTGATCAATCACATTTGCGAGGGCTGTGGGCAAGGCGAATCGATGAAGAATCTCGGCCATAATGCCGCGGGTGGACTGTGGCAGATGCTGCTCGATGTGGGTCGGCAGATGCTCTTTGCTTTCCACGACGGCGACTACGACGAGATCACAATCTCTGCCACTTCCATGCGTGATATGCTTTATGCTATTATCAAACTAGCAGAGGCCTATCCGGAAGTCCTTTTTCCGTCCTCGAAAGCCCAACCCGCAGCGATGGTCGTTTCTGCAGCGGGCTATGTCTGCATTGTGTCCCCAGACGTCGAACAAATCGCCCTCACGCTTCCGTCATTCATGGCGCTGGGAAAGCTAACGATGCTGGCCCACCGGTCGGCCTCTGGCGAAGTCATTACCAACGTCTACTCTCAGTATCCGCAATCTCGAGCCGTGGTGTTCGAACGGCTTGCTGTGTTACCCACGGCTGTCGGCCGCCAACAGCAACAGCGTATGATCAGACGCACCTTGAGGCCCATGGCCAAAGGGTCGACGCTCACGACTTCCGTGTGGGTTGGGTTGCTTTCCATTTGGGAAAGCTTGACAACCAAAATTATTGCATTCGAGGCTGGAAATACCATGACTTCAAGAGATCGAAGGAGAGTCATGACCGCCGATATCGAAGGCCTTGACGAGCAAGAGTCGAAAGAGTGGCAGAATCTGACGTACTTTTTATGCTCCATCACATCAGTGGGAATTTGCACTTCACCGCCGAGCTCCCTTTCTTCAGCAATCGGTAAAGAAGGTCTACTTCCCGCGGCGTACGATCAAGACATCTCGGAACCGCTCGTCATCGTGGAAGGATTCATTAAACAATGCGTAGAGCTACTTGTGACCAACTCTGTAGCGATCAGAGAGTCTGTCAAGACTGCCCTAGGCTCCGAGTATCCTACAAGCATGTGCGGGCTGCTTGTAGCTCAAATTTCCAAGTGAGCCAGGACCCGTTGACATTGGTGAGGGGTGCTGACATCTTACAGGCTCCTGAGTCACGCGTTTAGCCCTACTGGTGTCAGCGTCTCGGACGCCTTCAACACCCTTGTTGAACAGTCGGTCAACATTCTCCGACTCCAGATTGACCGCATGGGCCCCGACAACGATATGCCTACCGTCCAGGTTGAGATGGGCGAGCTCCTTCACAAACTCGGACAATACATTCAGAGATCTGGTCGAAGTGATCTTGCGATTCGGCTGAAGACGAGGTACTGTCAATTGGTGGAAGTGGCACTCTCCAAGAAGGACAATGTCGTGGCGGAAAATGGTCTCGGGCTGAAGAATTCCGTCATGGAGTGGTTGTGTGAATGGAGCGTAGCCACCTCAAGAGTGAGTGACGTTTTCCCGATAAGACTTGGTACTAATAGGGGATCAGGATGATGTTTATTCCGCTGGAATAGAGTCACATGGTCATTCGCAGAGAGAGCTGGACCACGCTTGCCTCAAAGCTATGGTACCTGTTACTGAGGGCCTGGTACTACGTCTCGGGGGAGAGGAGGCAGAGGATCCTCAGAGAGTGCTCAAATCTAGACTATTCTACCGACATTATCACCATCTAGTCAAGGTCATCGAGAAGACGAACAAGGAAGAGGTAAGATGCGTCCATACGTCAGTGACCGTCGTTGACGAAGAATAGACGCAATCCACGAATCATCCTCCATCTATCCAGGGCCAACCATCAACTCGGTCTGGTACGCCGGAGGACGCACCCACACTTGCCATTCTGGCACTGTCAAATCTATTGTCCTCCAACATCGATGTTGGGCTCAAGCATTGTCTTGCTCTTGGTTACCATGACGACCCTGCTCTTCGCACGGTCTTCATGCAGTTACTGACTAATATCCTCCAGCAGGGGACTCGATTTGGTGGGCTCGCCGCGAGAAGAGCTTCTCTCGCTCCCAAATTGTACTTGGAGAATCTCACGAGCACCAACATGGCACTTGCCCTTGCTATGGTGGACGTTTGTTCCCAATCTGGGCCCGATATGGACGAGCTTTCGACCTTGCTTTTCAGAGTGTTCGAAGGCAACGGGACCTTGCTTGGTTTCATGAGACTCCTTATCGAAAGAGAAGTCACCGTCACAAACCACGAGTCTGAGCTTTTCCGCGCAAACTCCTTGACTATGAGGATGATAACCATGTTTGCAAAAACATATGGTTACAACTATGTACGAGCGACTCTTGAGCCACTGGTGCTCTCGCTCGCCGAAAAGCCGGCGGAATGCTCATTCGAGCTTGACCCCAGGAAGGCATCTGCGACCGATGACATCGACAGGAATGCGGATCATCTCAAATTGATGTGCCAAGCTCTTCTCGATCTCATATGTGCATCCACGCCCAAAGTCCCATTGTAAGCGCCATTCAGGACGAGGTTGCAGTCGTGCATAGCTGATGCTTTTTGCAGGATGTTCCGAGCTCTGTGTCATCATATATGGGAGGTTGTGGATGATCGTTTCCCCGACTCTCGGCACTCGGCTGTTGGATCTTTCATATTCCTCCGATTCTTTTGCCCAGCAATTGTCTCTCCGGACACTATCGATCTGGACTCTGCGCCGGACAGCGCACAGACACGGCGCGCATTGTTATTGGTTACAAAAGTCATCCAGAACTTGGCCAACAATGTTGTATTCAAGGAGCCGCATATGAAGATGTTGAATCCGTTCCTTGCGGATAACATCAAGCAGGTCACGAAATTCTTGTCCGATGTTGCCGTGGGTCTTTCGTCAAAATGAAAGTACTGTGGCTGATCTTGACTCTCATAGATACGTCCCAAGACAGTCGATGTCCAGAATGCAGCCAAAGCCTTTCAAGAGGATGCTGAAAAGTCTCAAGACTTGGATGGAGACGACGCCATTATGTGAGGAGCACTTGCGTGGGAATGAACCTCAACTCACCACCTCAACAGTCACCGATTTGTTTACAAGAATCAAACCAAGTTGGAGAGCTCGCTCACGGGCATGCCGAAATCGTATCATCATTCCACCAGTGCCTCAAAAGTCGCGAGGACAGAGTGTGATGGGAAAGATGCGTTAGAAAAGCTGAGAGCGGTCATGAAGGCTACGGGTCCGCCCGCCGACACAAATCTCATGAGTGCTTCGGCGAGAGCTCTAGCATACGACGAGTGAGTACAAATGCTGTCTGCTGCCAGGGTTGAAGCTGATAAATATCTAGGTTCATGCGGCAAAATCAAGGGCGCAATGTCGATAGTGTGAAGGACGTTTTCTATGAAGGGCCAGCTAGTCAGAACGGGCGTCGAATTTTCTACTTCGTTGTCGCAAAGGTGGCTTTGATAGATTACGATTTACTTGCCTATCACGTCTTCAAGGTAAGATAGCTGGACGACTTGATGCCCGAGACGTCGCTGACATATTATAGTCGCTGGACAACGTGACAGAATACTTCGATGTGATTATCGATCTTACTGATTTCTCTTCCTCCACTGAGCTTCCGATGGCTTGGTTAAAGAAGTCTCTACAGATATGCCCTTCTGCTATCCTTTCAAGTATCTTTGTACGTCTCAGGGTTATGATCAGTTCCAAGGCTGATGATCTCCAGACCCTCGTTCTGTACAACCCCAACACCTATTCTCGTAAGAGACTCAAGAGGATTATTGCCGAGCTTTTGACTGTCAGCCCACCCGTGGGCAAGAATGTCGCCGCAGCGAGCAGCCCGGGAGAATTGGTCGACCACATTCAATTCAGCAGCCTGGCGCTGCCGGAGCACACCATGGTGCTGGCCTACGAAGCCGACCACGTCTTCACGAACTTGGTGTGTCTGTCTGAACATGGAATGCGAGTACCAGTCATGGTCAAACTTGGGCATGATTGTCTGCAAGTCGCATCTGTGAGTCTTAGCCGGTGTGATAGTCGATCAGTGCTTATATCATGACAGTGGAGAAAACAAGATCTCACCACCAACGTCAAATCCTACATTATCGATGTGGTCAAATTGGCCGACATTGATGATATAGTCACTAGCGGTGGCATTCCGGCAGATCAGCTTGTCATCAAACACTCTCAGAACGAGACCTTGATCTTTGTATCACGAAGTCAGTCACTTCGAGGACGACAAAAGAATCATGCTGACACTTGATCAGAGCGAAACGAGATGGCGCATATCATCAAATCTGCTCGTGCAAGGCTTCGAGACGCTCCGATCAATTCTAGAGCCCTCCGTCCCTCGGATGTCCCGGCAACTCTTTTGAACGTCGCCCTTCTGAACCTGAGCTCCGACAACGAGACCCTTCGAATGGGTGCATATATATTGGTGCAGGAATTGTCTCGATTCTTCAAGTATGATCTTGCTGCACGAGTGCTCAAGGTTTCAGGTGGGTCTTCTTTTGGTAACGGGCTTGCACATGCTGATGCGCCCAAGCCGGTTTGACCATTCCCAACAACTCTCTATCATGGGTCCGCGACCTTTCCAATGCGCTCGCCAACTCTGCCACGCACCTTACCCTTGAGTTCCTGAAAGAGTGGACGATCGGTTTCTCAAAGGCCGATATCACACACAAGACAGCCTCTCTCCACTATATTGGGCCGTGGCTGCTCAACCTTGACCAGTTCAGTCGACCAACTCGCGATGATGCCGAGGAAAGTGTCAAGCAAGTGAAAGAGGTCATCCGATCATTCATCTCCATTACTGTGGCAGAGCGCAGGGTGAGTCTCTTCTATGAGATCACAACGAGACAAGTCTACTTACGCACATCATAGCGTTTGCATCTGACTATCCAAGAGCATCTGTGGAGTCCTTTGGCCAAAAGCCATGGTAGTCTTGTCGACATCATGATTTACGAGCTCATATATGGTGCCATCGACGCTGGCTTGGGTAGTGACAAAATCGAGTGTATAGCCGATATCCTCGTGTCCATATCATCTACAAATGTCCGGGGAAAGGTCGTCGCACGTCTTCGCAAATCGCTTGCCCAGACCTATCTCCGGCCCTCCAACCATTTGACGGAAAACGCTACTTGGAACGAGGTGTGCGCTCTCGCACGCATCACACTAGCTTTGGGATTCAACCCAACAGCTGCCCTAGACACCCAGCTTTTCTTGCCGGAGATATTCCACGTAATTACCCTGCTCCTCGGCGCTGGGCCGCTTGTAATGCGTCAAACCGTCTATGGGTTGCTGGTGAGTATAATCCACTCCTTGGCTTCCAACGCCACCTCCGGAGAGATGGATGGACCGGCCTTGGTAAAGCTGTCAAACAGACTTACAAAGCCGGAGATGATGGCTGCTTTTGGTGTCAGTCAGGGCCATGGTCATATCGAACTGTCTGGGTTACCCAACAAAAACGAGACCGACGTACATCTGCTGGACAGGGTTGAGGAGGTGTCAAAGTTCCTCGGGGATGTCTTGACGGCTGGTGCTACCTCTGTCGGTGAGTCACATTGCTTATTGCAACGTATAGGCACTGACCGATTGCAGATTGTGCTAACGCTTGGCGGGCGCGGTGGATGGGCCTTGTTGCCGCTACTTGCTTCCAACACAATCCCGCCACCCAACCCCAAGCATTCACCGTCCTTGGCTTCCTTGTGTCGGACGAAGTGGACGACGATCTGATCTACCAGATTCTTGTCGCCGTGAGCACGGCACTTTCGCACTTTGCCGAAAGCCATTCCATCCTCATCATAAGCATGCTTCGCTGCCTCAGCCGTATCATTCCTGGGCTCCTCCCCGATAGCCGCTACGTCACGAGTCTCTTCTGGTTGGCAGTTGGCGTCTTGCAGCTCGGCTACATCCCTCTGTTCGCTCCGGCACTTGAGCTGCTGATTACGGCCCTTCGCTCCATCCACAGCGCCAGCCCCGACGTCCCATGCGCAGAGGTGATGGAGTACGTACTGGACTCCAGAAGCGTGGTAGCAGACGAGACACAAAAGTTGGACCATGTCTGTGGAGTCTCTTTCGACGTGGACATCAGCTTTGCGCTCGTTGCAATCATCTACAAGGGTGTCCGACATCCATCAACGAGAAAACTTACAATTGAAGTTTTACTCGACTTGCTACGAATGTCCGCCAGCCCAGCTCAGCAAAGTGGAGAGGACGAGCCATCAGTGGCTGAAGAAGGCATCGCTTACTTTGTGGCGTTGCTCTCGATTGTGGCAAACTCCCCAGAGGAGGCGAAGGGCGTCTTACTGGCCGCAGGTCTGCCGATTGACGAGGATGGTGTCGACTTGGGTTCCATTCCCATTTTCAGTCTGCTGTCTGTCCCGTGAGTCCCCTATCTGAGACTTGAATGAAACCTGGCTGACCATTACGTCTAGTGACAATCGCAGGGCAGTCCTGCTCATAAGCCTGGTAGTTGCTCTTTTGAGTGGCTCTGGAGGGTCGGATGCCGAGAAAGTCGTCTTGTATCGACTACTTGCCGACGCTAGCGCCGAGCTTCCTGAAGTCGTCCGCATGGTGTATGTGAAAACTGAATCGCTCTGACTTGTTACTGACCTTGACCAGGTACTCGTCGTTGATCCCGCGTATCATGTCTACTCTGGGTGCGACTTCCAACATCTCGATCATCAATTATTCTACAGTCATCCTCGAGCGAGCACTTATGGACGACACTTACGCGTTCCCCAATCTCTCTGCTATCCCCAGTACCGACAGTAGCACTTCGCTGCCTTATGGTCACGGCAAACCTTACGCCTCCAGTATCAGCTCGACCCCCAGCGTCGTAGCTGGAACAAAAGAACAGTTGTTGGAAGACATCGGTATGAAGGGCCTGGGAGAGTTGGCTTTCCCCCAGGTCAAGACTGATAGGTGAGTATCCTGTCTTGCTAGTTGACGGGCAACGGTGCTGACAAAAGTTGCAGATTGACAATGATGGCCAGATGGGTTGCCTCGTTGATCGAGAATTTCACGATATGATTCAGTTGTTTATAATTTCATTTGTCTACATTTTTTCCTTTTCTTTTTTGGGGGGAGGATATTATAGCGCCCTGCATTACAGGCAGACAATCTCATTTTCTCTTGGTCACTCCCCATATATACCCGTTCTCTTGTGTCCTGAACACACTGTCAGGTACTACTAACGATATCACACACGCTCCTGCAACGCCTTGCTTCGATATCTAGAATTTTATAAATAGGTTTCTGCTCGACATGGACGGTCATGCATTTCGAATTCAAGCATCCACTACGCAGCGTCCACCAGTGCAGAAGCACACAAAACGTAAGGATTCGTCCCGAGCATGCATATATGTCACAAGAGTCTACAACAGCTGTATCTTTTTCCAATACGGTATCCAGCCCGGCTAGTCACCCCTATCCATCGGTCATCACTCTCCTCTTTGTCTCTGATTATGTCTCCAGGATTCCCATCTGCCTCCATTTCTCGCTCAGCTCTGCCACACCCTGTCCCATTCCTTGGGTAGTCATCAGATCCTTCATCACCAACAGATCAAACTCCTTTCCGAATGCCAAAAAGTGGGCGAAAAGCGAGTTGAAATGTGCCTCAATGGAAAGGTGAAGGATCTGCTCAAAGTGAGCGTGGTAGAGGTGGGCAAAGATGCGGAAGAGGTGCTTGTAGATGTGTTTAGCGGTGTAGGCGAAGGAGTGGTCGAAGGGTTTGGCTAGAGGGGGTGTTATCAGGAGACTGCGTGATGCTATGGCGGTGGAACATACATGATTTAGTAGGGAAGACGTTCTCATCGTCCAAAAGCTTCTGCAGCCAGCTCATGACAAAGTCAATGTAGGTGGGGGCTGGTAAGGACACCAGTCGCTGATTCTGGTCCGGCCAGAGAAAGTTGAGACTGATCATTACGCATTGTCAGGTTCCATTCTGATGTACAACCAGGAGCGAAGCGATGGATAGACTTACGTTCGACCACCCGACATTGTGGGACAATTGTGAATAGTGCAGAATTCGGTGAGAACACCATAGAACTGGTTCAAGTTGTGGTAAAAGTCAAACACTATACCGGTCATTAGTCTCTATACATGGCTCTCCTTGACCCCCGATATTATACTTACAGTTGATAGCGACCCATTCATTCACGTCGACGTATTTGGGTGGTGCGACGATAGTCTTGAAGCTTCCCTTCACCAACGCAGCCTTGACGAACGGCTGACACAGGTACAATGGCTTGGGGCCAGGTGAGGGGGGCTGCTGAGCGTTCTGTTGGGTGGTCTCGACACCAGGCGAGGGGAGAGGGTCGAAGAAGCCTTGCTGGGTGGGGGTGTTGGTAGGCGACCGCTTGGGGGCTCGGAGACGACTGTTGGAGTGGGTCAGTGGGTGGGAGAAGGCAGGGCGGAGTTGAGACGTACCCGATGGAGTTGAGGAAACCAGACATGTCTATGGGTGTATATATTGTCTACTTTAGGGATGAGATGGAGACGATTTATGGATACTCGGCGCGATGAACCAGCTGCACGACGCGAGGAGGTCACAGCGGAGAGGCGGCGATACCCGCTTTACGTAAGTGCACTATGGTCGTCGACATTTGACCCATCTTTCTACGGTTGTATAACACAGGGGAACAGCACAGCCATGGTGTACATCAAGAACTGGACAGACTTTGAGTCGGTAAGCAACCTCTGTATCATACACTGCCACGTCGCTGATACCCAACCCAGGCGGCCACCGACCTCTATGCCAGGTCGCCCGACAAGGTGAATATACCCACTAAGCCACCCTCAATCCTCACCCGTACTAACAAGTCTCAAGGTGCGATACTGCGTCAAATTTCAGCCCAAAACAGGACACCTTGTCCTTAAAATAACAGATGATCTCAAGGTGCGCGCTGTCTCTTCGTTCACCACACCTCAGTCTGACATCTGTCCTCAGTGTCTCAAATACAAGACCTTTTCTTCTATAATCCTCAACCGCTTCGATTCCCTCAACCTCCGCCTTCTCACATCCATGTCCAACACCCGCGCCCGGCCAAAGCTGCCGACGACATCGGCCACCGAGACGCCCGAGAGAGAAGGCACTCCCGCGCCTGCTGCTGCTGGGGCGGACGAGCAGTCGCAAGCGGGACAGACCCAGTCAAATGCTACAGCAGGGGGACAGGCTCAGGGACAGGGAGCGTCAAATAGTGGAGGGAACAAGAAGAAGAAGAAGAAGGGAAAGAAGTAGTTTGTCGGAGTGCTAGTTGTATGTATAATCATCAGATATAGCTGGGTGAGACTAGCGACAGTGGTTGTGGCCTCGAAACATCTGCTTGACTGAATAGGTCTTGCCGTCTATATTCAACCAAGTCGAGAATTTAGGGTAGAAGAGCTGCCAGCTCGAGTAATGAGAGCATCTCCCATCTTTCCAGCTCAGACCCACAGTCAACAGGAGCCAGTGCGCATCAGGTTCAACCATGCCGTGTGTCACGAGGCTACCCTATGCATTGTGGCCTGTCCCCGTGGCATTCGTCTCAAAGTATGAAGTATGATACAACACTAGTCCCAATCTGCCATTGATACAATATCGTCGACGCGTTCTAGCTTTTCATCGGGATCCTATCAGCAGATATACGACTATGCCCAACGTTGAAAAGTAAAAAGCTTACCTTGGTATCGAGCCATCCGATCATACCTTGACATCCCCAAGAACGTTTTGGATATCTTCCCCAAGAGCTCTCAGCTGATCTATACGCTCCCCCACCTCCTCTCCTTCCCCCTTCCCCTGTGTCTCATTGACCCGCTTCATTTCTTGCACATATGCCTTTGCGAGTCTCTGTGAATCTTCGGGGGTCGCCTTTGACGGGGCAAACGCTTCGAGAGTCTGACGGGGCGTGTTGGAAGTTGTGGGTGACTGGGCTTTTGCGAGGGGCAGGGATGAAGGGGGGATGGTGCGGAGGAGGGCTATGTCGTTGACCAGGTTCTGGGTGCCGAGTCCCGACATTACTGAGCCAGTTATGATATAAGAGAGAAAGCAAGAATGAATGCCATCTTTGCCGAGCTCTGAAAGTCGTGACCTCCACCATCAACACGCTGCAACATTTTTGCACAATCATCATCTTCCATCATCCATACATCGACCACAATGTCCCTCTCTTCGTCCACCCTCTCGCTCAAGTTTATGCAGCGGGGCAAAGCCCCCGCCGGCAACGCCACCCCGTCAAAAAACACCAACAAGGCCGGGCAACATCCCACCCCCTCCGCCTCTGCCGGTCCTTCCACTTCCAACTCTCCCGCTCCCGCTTCCCTCATCACACCAAACTCGACAGACAGACCGGAGGAGGTCTCACAGACGCTGGCTAGGGAGGAAGCGGCGAAATGGTATATCCCCCGGCCAAATAAGCCTGCCACTGCTGGTGCGGCGGCATCAAAGAAGGGTGATGTCAGGGTGGAATACGAGGCCTCTTATGCGCCATTCCTTCCTGGGTTTGATGACCAAGATTCTGGTGAGGAAGATGAAGATGCAGGGAAGTCCACAGCGGGAGGAGGGAGGATGGTGTTTGGCGGGTTTGGAAAGCCGAAAGGGAAAGAGAAGGCTGAAGATGGTGATGAAGAGGATGCGGCCATGGATAGCGACGAGGAGGAAGTGCAGGACAAGAGAGCAAAACCTCGTGTGGAAAAGGGAAAGAGTTTTGCAAAAGACAAGAGAGAGCAGAAAGTCCCCCCTGCCCAAGTGAGCCCCAGCAAGCACTCCATTAGCTACTATGCTAATCCAGAATAGCAACCTCCAAAGACATTCCTTCGTCCTGCCATGTCTCCCCCACCCTCAAATCCAAAACCAAGCTCTTCCCGCCCCAAGTCTTCCACCCAAAACGTCTCGTCTCTGAAACAAGAACCCAACACTGCTATATCGTCCAAAAAGCAAAAAGCGCCAAAGAGACCAGCTCCGCCCGAATCCCCTCAGACGAGTTTTACTGGATCCGGGGCGGGGGCCAAGAAGGCCAAGACCGAGCCAGAGGGAGGCAAGCAGAAAGTGAAGAAGGAGAAGAGTGGCGGTGGGGGGTCGCTGGACGACAGAGAGAAGATGATGAAGGCGCAGAAGAAGGTAGAGAAGCGGAAAGCCAAGGCTGCGAAGGGACTGTAGAACAGACTGCCATATGTATGCATAGTACTCCTGCACGCTGCGTGACGTTAGCAGTGTCAAGGGATGATGTTGAACGAACAAGCAGAGGGGGCCAGATAAAGTGGTTACATAAGCGATGCAATGAGCGCACTCGCGTCGCCCACTAGACAGTTACAAGTAGGTGGTTTCTCGAATTCCTCGACGACTTCCGTATACACCATGGTGAGTCCCATCCTGCACAGAGAGAACATCACTGACCCCATCTAGGCTCGACGATACGATAGTACGCTGCGAATCCTCACCACAAACACCCCTTGCTGACTTGCTCTAGGCCGGACAACCATCTTCTCGCCTGAAGGTATGTCGGACTACTACAGAGAAGAGAAGAGAGCTAATCAACGATGCAGGGCGTCTCTACCAGGGTGCGCTAGCCACATATAGAACAGTGTCCATACTGACATCGTTGCAGTCGAGTATGCCATGGAGGCCATCTCCCACGCCGGTACCGTCCTCGCCGTCCTCTCCAAGGAGGGTATTGCTCTTGTTGCTGAAAAGGTTGGCTCTATCTACCCAAAATGGAACTCGGCCAGGGCCCATTACTAATACCGACCTTGTAGAAAGTGACTGGAAAGCTGCTCGATCTGTCCTTGGCTCCCGGAGCTGGCGTTGGCGGAGAAGGGACAGAAGCATGGATGGGAGGTGGTGGGGAGAAAATCTTCCTCCTCAACAAGTACGTTCACCGCAGAGAAGCTCGAACGCAGACTGACTCGGACGCAGCAACATCCTCGCCGGCTTAGCTGGTATCACCTCTGACGCCAACTCGCTTGTCAACTTTGCCCGTAATAGCGCTCAGCAGCACTTGTTCACGTATGATGAAGATATCCCAGTCGAGATGCTCGTGCAGAGACTGTGTGACATGAAACAGGGCTATACCCAGTTTGGTGGTACGTACAGCTTTGCTCTGCAAAACTCCATACTGATCAACACAGGTCTCCGACCCTTCGGTGTCGCTCTCCTCTACGTGGGTTGGGACCCCCTCTACGGGTTCCAGCTTTACCAGTCTGATCCTTCCGGCAACTACTCTGGATGGAAAGCTACCTGTGTCGGCGCAAACCACTCATCGGCGACGAGTTTGTTGAAGCAAGACTACAAGGAGGATCTGAGTTTGGAGGACGCAAAGGCGCTTTGTTTGAAGGTGATGAGCAAGACTATGGACTCTACCAAGTTGAGCAGTGAGAAACGTAAGTGCTCCTCGTATTTGACGCAGAGACAGGATTGACAGAAGCGATAGTCGAGTTTGCGACCATGACTCTTGACGGCAAGACCCAGCAGCCCTTAGCCAAGATCTTCCGAGCTTCCGAGCTTGACGAGCTCCTCCAGAAGCTCGAGCTGGGAGGTACCCAAGATGATGTGGCGGCTGAGGGTACTGGCGGTGGCGGCGGTGGTGAGGGTAACGTGGCCATGAGCACATAAACTGTAAAGAAGGATGTATTGTTGTGAGATACCCATCATGTTCGTTTTTGCATTACTATAATACATCTATGTACATTACAAATGTCCCATCCTAGCTCGACTCTGCCTTCTCTAACGGCGCCACCCCATCTCCCTCTCCATCCAGTTCATCTACAATAGCTGATTCAGGTGGGGGCGTATCCGTCTCGAAACCCAGCACGCTCGGCACGAGCACCGGTCTCCTCGGCGCCGCATCTTCTGCCCTGACGTCCTCATCCGGCCTGATCTGCAGCTGATCTATATCCAATCCCATCTCCGCCTGCGCGTCAATCCTTTCCGCCTCCATTGCCGCATCCGCTTCCAGCTCTTCCACTGTCAACGAGCTCTTCCGCCTCTGCGCCTCTTCTTCCCCTTCCTTGCCTTCTTCCACCACTTCCTGCTCCAAAGGCAAAGGTAGCTTGCTTTCTTCTGCAATACCGAGCATCTCTCGCAATTGACGGTTCTCGTCCTCCAGCCGCAGTATCTCCATCTCCCGCTCGAGTGCCCAGTCGGCTTGACCTTCGGTACCGGCGTATCCCCCCGAAGAGCCAGGGAGGAACCCGGGGAAATGGGGAGGTCTGTTCGGCGCGCGAGGGAGAGTCTTGGCTGATTGTGATGGTAATGGCTGGGAGGTAGGGGACGGGCCTCTCGAACTCCTATCAGGCGCAGGCGCGCCCAACGCAGAAGAGCCCTCCCCGGCAAGCACCCGCTCCGCCTCCTCGATTGCCTTGCCCATCGCCCCAATGTCCTCTTGTTCCTCGACACCAGTGTCTTCTCCTTGCATCGACCGCAAAGCAGACCTCAGCAAGGTCGACAGCCGGTTGAGAAGGAGAGAGAGGGAAGTGGAATCGTGCAATTGGGCGGAAGAGTGGGCAGTTTGCAGAGTTTGGAGAAGATGGGTGTAGTAGGAGTGAAGGGAAAGATCGTGTTGCTGAGATGTATGCTATCATTCGGTCAGCACGCGACCCAAATGACGGTGTAAAGACGTACAGCAACACCTCGGAACTTGCTCATCACCGTCTCGAGCGTCTGCTCATATTCTTTCAGCAGCGCGTTCAGCTGCTTGTTTTCATGTTGCAGTTGTTGGTTCTCAAGTACGAGGTGAGAAGAGAAGGCCTCGAGTTCAGTCTGGAACTTCTCTGTAGTGATCTGTGTAAGCCTTTGCTCCAGTCAAAAAGAAAGATGAAACATACCGGCAGATATATCGACATTGAATCGTCTGAGAGGGAATCCGGTGCCAGCGTGCACTGCCTGGCCTTGGATATTATCTGCCCTAGCTTTGAGCTGTGTGACGAGCGCCCTGTTGTTGGACAGTTGTTCTAAGCACAAACGTCAGCTCAGTGACGAGGGGATGAAATGGGGTCCCACCTGATAACTCGCCGACGAGAGACCAGAGGCGGTACAGTTCTTCTTCCACGTCGACCAGGGAGCGGACCATTTTGTTCAGCTAGTCAGTTGCGAGTTGCCGTGGGCAAGTCATTCGACTTCTCAGAGATCATAGAGTCCATAAATGGGGGGGACGGTCCAAGCATTGTTGACACCCTGTTACGTAACCGATCATCATGAAGTTGCCGCTTCGAGTTTTGGATGGCATTTCAACGACAATCAGATCATCTTCTCTTACATCCACAAACCTGCAAGTCACCCAACATGGTGAGTAAACCTGGAAAGAGAAACAAAAGCTCACGGCGGCGCAGGGTGTTCCCGCTCTCTTCAGATGGTTGTCCAAAAAATATCCCAAGATCGTTGCCAAAGTCAACGAGCAGACACCTACAAAGGTCAGAGGTCCCGATGGGGAGCTGATAGAAGAGCCTATACGTTATGAGAACCCTAATCCCAACGGATTCGAGGTCGACAACCTGTATTGTGAGACTCTCAAAGGTGTTGTGCAGGAGGAGAATGCTGATCGGTCGGTAGTGGATATGAACGGTATCGTCCATCCTTGTACGCATCCCGAAGGCAAGCCTGCACCGGAGACCGAGGAGGAGATGATGGTGGAAATCTTCAACTATACGGAGAGAGTCGTCAACATGTGTCGTCCGAGAAAGGTCTTGATGATGGCTATCGGTGAGTACTCGAAGATGCTCCCTCGATACCTTCTAATACTTTACAGACGGTGTCGCTCCTCGAGCCAAGATGAATCAGCAACGATCTCGTCGTTTCCGAGCCGCTCAGGAAGCCGCCGACAAGGAAGAAGAGCGCAAAGAAGCCATCGAACTCTTCAAAGCCATGGGCCACACCGTCAGCGATGAAACCGCCAACAAGAAAGGATGGGATACCAATGCCATCACCCCCGGTACCCCCTTCATGGATCTTCTGTCAATCTCTCTCAAGTACTGGGTTTCTCACAAGCTCTCGACAGATCCGGGATGGAAGGATCTCAAGATCATTCTGTCAGACTCCTCGGTGCCC